TCACACAAATCGAATGATTTATTTGGAGCATCTGTATCCGGTGCCCCTTTGCACCAATATTTATGTGTTCAAATAAACAAATCCCAAACTAGACAAAATATCACAGGTACCTATTAAATTTCTACGATGTATACAACATCCTTGACAATTTTGAAATACTAATAGAAACCTATTAGATCATTAATAATATATATGATTTATTTGTGAATCAAACAACTGATAATATATATCTTCTCTAAAACTTACCAGTCATTGAAACTTAATATTTTCTTTCCTTAACTCTTACTCATATCAATTCGTGGATTGGTTGAGGTTAGACATTAGCGCCATTGGATGACGGCTCAGTGGTTCAGTATGTTAAGCGTTCGCGCGCGAGACTGAAGGCCCTGTGTTCGAATCTCACGGGCGGGATCGTGGATGAGCAATGCTGAAGAGCCCCACTACAGGACGAAACATCAGACGTAGTCAAAAATTGTCTAGCAACAACTATTAGAAGAACATTTAATGCAGCTAAATTGCGAATAACCTTCACGAGTAGGAACTTATTTTCTGTGTCCATAAAAGACAAGCTTCCGCGTCTGGTCGCCTCCATGTGCATCTACCAGTTCACCTGCTCTTGTGGAGCAAGGTACATTGGCCGTAGCCAGCGCTCGCTTTCAACTCGGATACGGGAACATATTCCAGCTTGGTTCTATAAGGGAGGAAGGAAAGTAGTTAGGAGTTCTATTCTTGAACACCTAATCCACTATAACCATTCTACAGATCCACAAATTGACTTTAAGGTTGTTTATATGATTCGTTCAAATCTACCCAGATTTCTTCGTATCCAACTCTTAAAAATAGCCGAAACTCTTACCATCCATTATTTTTATTATTATTATTACTGCATTCACCCCTTTACTTATGTCTTATGTTCTTATTGTTTTATTCGTAAATGGTCTAGCTTCAACTGACTCATGATTTCAACCTTAATTATTATGACAAAAACATTTTAATTACCTTATTATATTCACTAAATCTATTGTTATTATTCATATTACGTAATCTAGTATTATAACCCTTTTTTATTAACTGTGTTCACATTTCCGCACGGAATTAGTACTTTTACAAAAACAAAATTTAGAACAACATATATAAGCGAACAATATTGTTTTCGATTAGATCCTCATCAGGCTTTACTCTAATATACAGTAATATTTATATGCATATACGAAATTATTAAACCAATCAAGGTAGTTTATAAGTCAATGATAACAATGAAAACGATTACATAATGAGTAAAATGTAAAAAGTACAAATTGATGGTGTGACAACAGGTGCATTAGTTTTGATAAAAATAATAAAGGTTCAAATCAATGTTACAAAATTTTCATATATATACGATTGTACAGCTTAATAATAAATTTGTTGGAAAGAGATCCGTTCGCTGAAATTCATGTTTTAATTCGTATATATGGTTATATATGAAAAATATATGTCTATAGAAGGATAGAAAAGACTGCATCACCAAAAATGGATTCGAGAATAAATAACAAATGAAGTTATGTAGTAATCAAGGGGTAAGGAAGAAAATAATTTATAGGTTAGATAAATAGTCCAATTGATAGATTCGAAGAAAAACGACAAACACAAAAAGGTCATAATAATCAACAAAACTTGTATGGGGTAATAATAACTGATTAGAGTTTAAACTGTAAAACAGTAATTTATAAAGTCCAATAATAATCAAATAAAAGTGCAGAAAAACAAGCAGAAAAAAAGCACAACCTCGAAACATACCCATTGAAGGAATTAAGGCCAAGGAAGGATGAGAGGTTGAACAAGTCGTTTCTGCACGCAAAGTTCAGGCTTGAGTTCATGGATTTCCAATACCTCAGCAGTGCATAAAATATTGATTCGAACCCACTTCGATCCAGTTCCTTTGACTCTGTGGATTACTTTTTTTCCTATACTTTATATATATAAAGTGTATGATATTTAGAAAAAAATTTTCTTTTAATTTTCTTGACTAAATAAATAACTACCTTCCAAATGAATCAATGTTTAACAAGAAAATAATGTAGTAAAATATTCATTTCACTTGTAGAAATAAAGTACATATTTTTTAAAAGAAAATTTTCATTTTATTTCATCTTGGAATATGTTTTCATTTATCAATGTTTTTATAAGACAGTACAGTATAAGGTGCTTACTTATTTATGCCTGTAGCTCTTCTAGAGTTACTGTCGGTCCCAAGCCCGGGTAAAGGAGGAGGGTTGAACATGGAGTTAGCCACCCCATCCCGTAGAAAACTAACTCACTAAACAATACGCTAACCACAAAAAATAATTCAAACAGTATAAGGTATGAAGGATAATTCAATGAAGAGAGGTGTTTGTTTAAAACTTTATTTGATTATTTATTTGAACATATAAATATTGTTACAAAGGGGTATCGAAAATATATAAGCTACATAAGTCATTTGGTTAAAAATAATCATGGAAAATGAAATCTATTCAACTAGACTATTTTGAATTTATACTAGTAAGAGTTCTTATTTTTTTTTGAAAACATTTGAAACTTGGTAGCAACACCCAAATTATTATTAATATTAGAAATATTGTGGACGTTATGGGAATTAATTATTTTTATCTGATTAAATGTAACAAATATTATTTATTCTACTATCTATATGTTGTCTAATTATTAAACTAAATAATTCTAAGGAAAAACATTATTTTTGGTTAAATGAGGAGATCTTAGCTGACTCACTGTGACTTAATGTTATTCCTTATATGAGAAATGATCGTTTTGGTTTATTCTATTTCGTATAGTTATAGATTATTAAAATCCCTACAGTACTTACTTACGTCTGTTAACTCTGGTGAAGTAACATAGGACGCCCAACAGCATTATCCATCTAACTCTGTCCTGAGAAATCCATTCCAGTTGTTTCTAGTTGCTAATCATTCTTTTCATGTCGATATCCAACTCTTGACACATTATGTTCCTTGGTTATTCTCTTTTTCTTTTCCCTTCAGGATTCCAAGTTAGGGATTGACTCGTGATGCTGTTTTATCATTTTCGCAATGTATATCCCATCCCTACAATGAGTGTTAATAAAGGATTTTGAACATTTTAATGCTCATACATTACTTATATTAGTAATTATGTGACAAACCCAGGATAGATTATTTGTTTAACAAAAATGATCAAGACCACTTAAGGATTAAAGGAGTTTTCCCATTGCAAATAACATTGAATTTGTAAAAACATTAAAATCAGTGCACTAGACAGTTTGAATACACAGTTCAGTAATTAATTTAGAATAATTATAATTACGAATTATAAAATTTCCCATGATTTTTTTAGAAAGTGAACTTATACACCAGTAACGTGTATATATTGGACATATTTAAAGTAATCAGTGTTGATATTAACTAATTATGATTTCTGCAAAGGCAAACGATAGTTGACTTCTCATTTTATGATAATATTTAAAATTATCAGAATGGAGGGGTCTAATCCGTGTCGGTTGGAGACGGTTATCCACTCCAGACAATCGATGAAGGGTTGTGCAAGATCATGGATCGATTGAAGTTAGACAGCTCAGTTGTGTAGAGGTTAAGTGTTCGCACGCGAGACTGAAGCTCCTGGATTTCGAGTGCCGCGTGCAGGATCGTTGATGCGCACTGATAGGAAGTTCCATATTAGGACGAGATAACCATCCAGTGCTTCCAAGTCTTGACTATATCGACTCATAAATTCAAATATTAAAATATTCAGTATGTTCAGTCTCAAATAAGCTGATACCATCCGATGTTGTTAGAATTCATACTTTTAAAAAAGTTATCGTTTAAAAGAGCAAGGATAAAGATTCTAGCGGAACAGCATGAATTCATTTAATTTCGTTGGTTCTCGTCAGCTGTATGGTATAAGTGTAGAAAACAATAGACAAACACAGTGCAATAACACTAAATTTGAACAGTTTCTACTACTGAAAAAATCAGATTACCATGCTCTTCAAAAGTTTGTTAAATGACAAATAACTCAGTAACATCAAATAAAATCTACTTATTCTAAATAAAAGGGTTGAATTTTATAAAAAAAATTATTAAGGTAAGGTGGTGAATATTTCAATGAACGTGATAATTGTTTGTATTGACCTACAGGGGTAAACAACCGCACTGACTACTCAAATATACATGTCATTTTATACATTAGATTAAGATTTATGATAGATCTATAATTGACAGACCTCCCCTATTCACTATTAGATTAGTGATGTAATCTAATCTAACAATGAAACGTTTTTTGATAGGTTTAGATAACAACAGGATATGAAGGTGTGTACTTTTAGCTACTATTATATCAATATTTCTAACATGTTTTTTCATTGTATATCGTTGAAAAATTCTGTTTAATGTTGAAAAAAAAACTCAACAGACAAACATATTCACCACCCATGTATTTACTTGAAAATATTTTGGAAAACTTCAGTGAAAGATCAAACCAAGACGAATCTAATGATTTGTTAAATATTTCATGTTAAGATTTTGATTTTTCTATGTTGATTATAAAAATATACCCATTAGAATAAAACATTGATATATGAACAAAGAATATCTTTCCCAATAAGTTCTCATCAGTTTCTATATTCATAAATTCAAATCAAGTTTATAGTGTATACAGTAATCTTACCTAGCTCTGATTATATAATTGAAAACTAAGGTACACTAAAAGTGACCATGATAGTTTATATATTCTGTTTTATAAGGAACAGTGAAAATGTGATAGTGTGGGTCATATATGTTTTTTGTTGTTGTTGGATTATTCGGTCAATACTAATTTGTATCGAAAGTTACCAATAAACCAGTAACAGTGTATATTCTACGTTTTATGTAGAAATGAGTACAAATTAATTTTCTACTGCATATTCAAAGTAATTTCAGTCTTGTTGTAGTTCAATTAATCAAATTTGCTTATTTACTTTGACTAACGCCTTTCCTTCATTAATATAGTGTCCCTGCATTGAAAGATCTATCCTCAGAGAAGATGAAAAAGCTGGCTGACGTCTTAGAACCAGTAAGTTTAAATTATAATGTTAGTGATAATATTGATAATACTAGTTATTATTGCCATAATTACTAACCACTATGCTTTATTTTACATCAATTAAATAACATTCCAATCTAAAGGTGTAAATAGGTAAAAGTGCTATTTTAGTTCACCATTTGTAACATAATTAAATTTATTATTTAGTCATTTACTTTTCTTGATATTATTCAAGCTGATTAACACAACATCATGGTCCACTATACTTGATTTTAAATTGTTTTGAAGCTATCAGTTAGAGGCTCTGTTTTATTAGTGCTATATTCCATATTTCTCATATATTAATATCTACTAAATAAAGATTATACGCAGATCGAGTAAGAATCATTGGTGTTCCTATTTGTTATTATACACTTAATGTTATAACATAGAAGATACATTAGTTAATTATAAGCCTTTTACTAGTTATTTTTGTTCATAAGCATATTAATCCATATACAGAAAATCGATTGTATAAATGCCACATCAAGATGTTTAGTCACCGATTAATGATCTACATACAAAGAATCACTCTAGGATGAGGATAATATTAATTATGCCATCAGTTTCGCCAGTACACAAGAAAGTACCAGTATTTTGAGATACCGTCAGGGTGTTGTAAGCAATGATTAAAATTGTTAAAGAATTACACCTAGATGACTTGATAATAATAATAACAATAATCTTTAAATATATTCTGTGATTAGAACAAATTTGAATCATTGAAAAGGCAAATATTTATTCATTTATAATAACTAATCGATATTTGAATAAGGCCAGAATAACAAATGAGGCAGCCTCAATTGTTGTTCTGCCTTTATTCAAATTCATAAACGGAACCAGTTGCATGATTGATATTGGTTAAACATGTTAGTATTACCATTTCAATCATCTTTCTTCTATTAGTGATGATATTCAAGTAGAAAATCAAATGCCTTTAGGAGATTTTATATTATGTTATCCTATAATGCTTTAGATTGAAACAAGATTTAGTAGTCTTATGAAAATGTTTTTTAAAAAAATGTGTATTTGCTTCGTTTTGTGTAAATCTATACGGTATCGTACTACAAATTCTTTATCCTTTTTTTAAAAAAAAATCCTAAAATCGATTATCTCATGAAAGTATAAATACGGCAACTTAAAGAAATTAAGGGATTTTTTTCACAAACGACATATTTATCAAATCGAATTTTCTTTAAAATATTTACTATTCTGTCCCATTTGAAAATATATTATACTTTTTAAACGACACTACTTATTGTATAACAGTTGTTCTCTATCTGTATTAATAAATGTTTCATCATGTAACCACTTTTAAAAATTAAGTGATATATATATGAAGAAAGTGAAAAGACGGAGGTTGGTTATGAATACAGTGGTCTTGAGTGCTGTTAGAGGTATGAGGGCGGTTATCACTTCCCGGATGCCCACACCGTGGAAGGGTTCTTCTGGAGGTACCTGAAAAGGAAATTCTATTAGAGGTGGTCTTAGTGACCTGAGAGCGTGACCGCAGTGCCCAAGGGACAACTGCCTGAAGTCGGTCACACACGACCTTTTTATGGGTAATTTTTGTGTTAGCTCCGTACTTGTTGAGACCTTACTGCCGGATACGGATATCCGTGGGATAAGGCGAGGCGTGCATTTTAGGGTCGACCTTTTCTAACTCCACCCCTCCTTGTGGGAAGGCAGCATCGCTGTCATTCTGGTTGTCTGAAGGAAACATCTTACTTCTGTCACACCTCTGTACAGTCAGCTGTACGAATTCGCCCTCAGACCTTGGGTTTGCTGCTTTCGGTCGTACCCCTCTTCAACCGACCTGTCTGGTATAGTAGGAGCTTGGGGAACGGTTGTTCCAGCCAGTACAGCTCGACTGGTCCATCACGATAGGCAAGCCCGACTCCCACGTCAAGGTAGCAACAACGGTCGGGATATATATATATATATATATATATATATATATATATTTTCAATAGTTGAGATCATGAGTCATTTGAATTTAGATCGCCATAGAGAACTTGGAAGCGCTGGACGGCCGTTTCGTCCCATCGTGGGACTCCTCAGCAATGCGCGTCCACGACTCCGCCCTGCGAGATTCGAACCCAGGACCTACCAGTCTTGCGCTCGCGCGCGAGACCACTGGACCGGCATACAACGGTGTTAACGTCTAACTTCAAATAATTCACGAAATTGAGCAACACATCCACTATTGTCAGCAGTGAATTACTATCTCATAACAGACCCAGTTGAACCCATAATCTCAACTATTGAAATTACTACAATCTCCACAAAACCCCTTCTGATACATATATTTATTATAAAGAAAACTTTTCAATATATATTTCATATTTTCTCTCTTCGTTAAATTCCTCTTACATTTATTTCATTATTAATTCCATTTTTTTGTTTTGTAAATAAAGGTGTTTTATGAAACTGGTGAATATATAATACGTGAAGGAGAACTTGGTGAAACATTTTTCATAATTAAATCTGGTAAAGTAAGTCTACACTTATTTGTACATGGAATTTCATATCTATGTTAATAAATGCATAAAATTTGTATCTAAAATGAACTATTTTTAGGTCAGTAAAAGTGAAAAATACTGAAGAGTAATAATAAAAAATAAGTACTAATATAGTTATCACATCCAATTTCCGTGACTTTGTTTCAGTTGGTTTTTTAGAGAATAAATAGTTTATTTCATTTAAGCTAACTTGAGCTTAATTAGCTCACGGAATCAATCAACATAAAAATTTCGAAGATAAAGGCAAGTTTGATCAGGTCATTTATATCATAGACGAGTCTATTTCGATGCATAAATTCATGCATCTATATGTAGGTGAGTGGGATGAAGTGTGATAGTTGTTGTGTGATTGAATAAGTTAATTTGTACGTGTTTTTTCTGGTATGTTGTTAAACAGGCATAATGTGAGGATGAGAATTTTCCAAGTTGGTTAGTTAGTTAAACTTTTTTCATTTTAAGAGCAACGAAATTTAACGATATATGAAGTGCTTTAGCTTCATATCTACCTTTATAATTAGAGAAACCCGTTTTTGAAATATCTGGATATATCTGATACCTTAATTGATGGTTGTTGAATATGGTATGAAGCGATATTGTTGGCTGGACTAGTAAATGTTTTATTTCTGCAGAATTATTAGGTAGTTTTATGTTGTTTAGATTTTAATGGCCCTATATTTGACTCCAGTTAGATCGAACAAATGATCGTTATCGAATGATTGATGTCGAAATATACATCGTAGCTACCCTCGTATATAATTAACGACTTAACTCGCGTTAGTGAATAATGGAATTAAATAACTTATATACGAGAATGGATTTCGAATATGTAAATTTCATACAATCGTTGATCCAGACAAATGATCATAGAAAAGAAGCGAAGAAAGCGAAGAGGAGAGAGCGAACCGAAACGAAATGATGTGCAGTGGAGAATGCATGTGAGCTAACTCGTCTTAACCAAGCATAACGCGATATTTATAGTCAAAGAAAAGTAAGTTACAGACATGTGATGAGTCAAATAAGAAATGCACACACATGCTTACATAAAAACAGTCAAGGTTGATAAGTGAGTGATAGAGTAAAAATATGGCTTGAGAAAGATGAATAGATTGATCTGTCCAGAGGCTAGAATAAGTTATATCGGCTTGAAATTGTACCAAGATATCCAGAAAAAAGTATCACAATAGACACTACCTAATCTTTAAAAACGGTAAATGGAAATTTACTTTTTTTATTCGAATAAAAAAATTTCGAAGTCTGTTAGCTTATTAACAAAATAATATAATTCTATATTGTTTTAGGATTTATTTCAGATATATTAACTTACTTTTCTTAGAAAAAGGGTTATAATAACTGGAAATACATGGCACTATTTATTCTCAGTTGTTTCAGATTCATACTGTAGATTTCATGAAAAAAAACCTCTGGATGTTAATTTTCAAAATAAATTTAAACCTACTTTTTGAAAATAACCCAGAGTTAAAAAGAAAATAGTTGGAAAAGATAGGAAAATAAAGTAGTATTTCACAGACATTAGTTACAAAAAGTGTTTAAACCTAAATCTACTAACTAGTTTTTACTGAAAATTGTTTTACTGGGGCGGGATCATAGATGCGCAATGACGAAGAGTCTCATACTATCACTAAATAGCCGTCCAATGTTTCCGGGTTTTTAATGGTGGTCTAACACTGATCAGTTCATAATCTAAATACAAAATGATAGGTTTATTTCACTTGGTATTGTTTGGCTTGCATCTTCCCATTGAGGTTTAAGACTGCAGTTGATCAGTATGCATACGCACAGTATGCACATATGCCAATAATAGACTGATCAATTGCAGTCTTAAACCTCAATGGGAAGATACAAGCCAAACAATACCAAGTGAATTTAAATTCACCCCATTGCACAAGCAAGTAGCTATCAGGACTCAGTAGCTGAGTGGATAAAACAATGGCGTTTGAAGCGAACGATACTGAGTTCGAGTCCCAGAGTGAACATCAACTCTGAGATGCAGGTACATCCAGCTGACGAGTTCCAAATAGGACGAAACGCGCATCCTGGATTCCAATGCTAGCCGCTATCCATCATTGCTTACAAAGATACGTTTATTTGGTCATAGTTCATGCTGTATATAGGTTACAGTATGCAAAGGATAAGTCTATTTCTTTTTATGTGAGATATATAACTTTATACTCGAATAACAACAATTATTAAACATTATTCTACTTCTTGTAAATCTAATTTTTGGAGACTCATCTTTGTACTCCTGTTGTATATTTATGCTTGAGATATGTAAATTACAAATTAATTGAAGATATAAAATAAAGCCGTTTTCAAGGTTTTTTTAATACTAAGTCGATAAATGATATTGCTATTACGCAAAATACATCAAAAATAGTATTTCCTTTAAAAAAAAGTAATAATCCCATTACTTAATACAATACTTTTGATCAAGGTAAAGATGTCTAAGCACAACTTCTGTAAATATTAATACCATATTCACATTATTCGTTCATTTAACATTTTAATTCCAAAAAATCAAACTATAGTGAATGTATGATAAGTTGTAAGCTACTTATGAAAGTACATGAGTCCAATCAGTTAATCAATCATCATCAATATTAGTATATACTATGATAATCCATAAATAATCAAATAAAATAAATCTAAGGAATTAAATTTACTGTAATATTAACACAGTTTTGAAGTATATTGATCCGAGATATAAATCGATTATACCCTTGATCTAATTTATTAATTTTAGTCTTAAAAAGATAATCATTAGAACTGAAAAAAAAACTTTTTGTTGTTGCTAACTTATTCGCATTAAGTGTATTGATAAAAAGACAAAAAAAACGGATAAGCAAAGATTGAATTTATAAGCTAGTTTTCAACCGAAACTATATCTACCTTTAAAGTTTACCTTTGAATTGGTCATGTGACTGTGTTGAACTGTTTAACTGAGTCAAATATGAGTTTAGACAAAATGTTACATGATGTGTGTCATTTTTAATTTGTAAACAAGACATTCTAAGTGTTAGGGAATGTTTTATGTCATTACCAGGTTAAATAAATCAATTGATATTATCTTAATCAAGCTTTAAATAAACGCAATTTATTTTGTATGCGGAATGTAGTTTACTTTTAGACTTTTTAATGTATCCTACGGCGAGATTATAATTTATGAACAACGTAATCAGATTTAAGATTGCTGGTTTTGGATTTCGGCGCGAATTTCACTCTTTCATTTGAATAAATACCATTACGACATTATAACTGATGTCAGTTCGTAATGAAAATATTGAATCTAATTTCTAATTCTAACGTTCAATTGTAAATCCTAATCCTAATTCATCGCACTAATTTATAACCCTCATTTAACCCTAGCAAGTAGGTGGACAATTTTAAGGTCATCTTAACTTTGCTTAAAGATCGTTCATAAATTATAGTCTCACTGAGAAACCCTTCACTTCGTAAAATCCATACGTATTTAAACTGGAAGTGTAAAGAAACTAGTTTTTAAAAAATCATAATCGGTCAGGCCAAACATAATAATAATGTACAAAGTCATTGGGAATTAATGAGACTTGTCACATAATGCTAGCTAGCTAGGATCTCATGTTCGATAAAATCTCTGAAGTGCAAAGACTCGAAAACTCTACCAGTAACACAAACATCCGTTTATTCTAATCTCCCTATAAAACTTCAACTTTCATGTTATCCTATACGTTTTCATTTTCTGATTACATTTGCTCTTAAACTATACTCCCAATGTTTAATTTTCCAATATGGTTGATATTACTTATTGACTCATTTTTTGTGCCTTGTTAATGTTCTCTTATCAAATTGATGTAAGGCGCCGTAATATGGGGAAGTGTATATATTTATGTTAGGTTCTATGTTGTTTATTTACTGTTCAAAGATGATGGCTGAAATTTGCAACATTATTATCAATTAATCAAATGCGTTTCACGTATTTCATTCAACTAGAATTGAAATTAGACTTGACTAGGATGTTAGAGTGTGATTGAATCCATTAATAAGTTGCATGTTTTACACTCAAATAACAGATGACTGTAATTCAGTTTATATTTTCATAACAGTAGGATTACATAGATTAAACGATAAGACATTGAATATGATGTCTGGAAGATAATAGTTTGAATCTTTTCATACGTTTGGTCATCATCATCGCTGATTTATTATCGCTCAGCATGTTATTGACTTAATTATTTTTAAATGTTAACTTGATGAATTATTTTCTATTTCAAAGAATATTCAGACTGCTGATAATTATCCATTTTTATATTGCTTGTCTGAATCTTCCTAGTGATGTTTACGACTGCAATTAATCAATCTCTTATTGGCGTGTGCACATTCTGTGCAGATTGCCTCAGTATCGTCTTAAATCACAAGCATTATAAGCAGAAATGGATGTTGGCTAGCAGCGAAATCCAGGACTCATATTTAGTCCTATTTGGGACTTGTCAGTTGTATGTACCTGCATTCAAATTGGTGTTCACTCCAGGGCTCAAACCTAGAACCATTCTCTTCAGACTTCATCGCTTTATCTGTCTAGTTACTGCGTCCGAATAGCTACTACCTTTTGAAATGGGGATGACGTGCTGATACTTATCAGTTGAAAATATACACTTTTCATATCATTTATCTGTTCTTAAATAGAAGCAAAGTAAAAATAAAATCAGACTCATTATGATTTTATATTTTCTTATCTTATTAATAAAATACGGCAGTAACAATATGTGGTCATTGTCATATGGTTTGTATATACCTAGATATATATCTATTTCAAACCCTCAAAGATATATATATATTCTATTGTGTTGCAAGGAAAAAACTAGAATTTAGCTAAGAAGAAAACCTATGACTGGCAATAAAAAATATCTAATCATAGTATAAATGCATTATTAATGTCTTTAGTAATCAAGTATTACAAATATCCAGTATATTTTTTACACGGTCAATAAAGACGAATAAAATATGATTTTCAAAAACTGTTAGTGATTTCAGTAGAAGTTTAAAATATGTTTATTTTCATTTGACTATAGATACACAAACTGAGAAAAAGAAATGACAGTATAACTGCATAGAATTATCAGGTTACTGATTAAAGTAATTAACTTCTAAATTATTGAGTTCCTTAATCAAATCCTACTTCATCTAAACAATCTGATAATAGTAATATCATAATCCATTAAACATATAAAATATGATTTGGCAACGAGTGTATGAACCTACTTACTTATTTAATAAATTACAATGATTTTAACTGTATACTGTTAATTAAACCAATACAAGTTAGACAGAAAATGATTGATCAACATTAATTTTTAATTTAATTAAAATAAACTATACAGTAGTTTATTTATATCCATCAATTTGACTATATTAGTTAATTGCTTCATATTCACAAATCAATTGTATATTCGGTTAATAAAGAAGGAACTCATCGAGCAAAGAAATTTCTTCTCATCATGGCTCTACAGTAATATATATATGATTTAAAATAATGAAATAATACTCATCGAATAGATATGTTACGTAATAATTATATAATGACATATCAATTATAAATTAACATTGAGTAATTGAAATAAAGTGAATGAATAATAATCAAAGTAATTATTCGAAAATCAAGTAGTTGCTACGTTGCATAATATATAAAAAAAGAGAAGGAATTAACAAAATATTTTGACGGATGATTAGTAGTATAGTAGTTATGTATATTCATTGTATTATGGTAAAAATAAATTAAAAGTCTTTAAAAATAATTATTATAATTTATTGAAAATAACCGCAAATTTTAACTATCAAATATGGTATCCAAAAAAGTTGAAATTTATAACAAACTGTAGGGATATTTTCGTCAATTTAAATGACAATTAAAGTATAAACACTATCTTTCTTAAACATAAAATATAATTCTAGTTTTAATGCTCATGTATGAAAGGAAACAAATTTGAGAGAAAATTCACAGATGATCCCATAATTTACAAAACATAAAATAAACCTAAGAAATAACTTTTATTTTCATAGACTAAATTACAATTCTAAGCAAAGATCAATGACGGTTAGCTGTAGAATTCAGAACAGGCGTTTCATTCCACTTAGCTACTGAGTTCAGACAGCCACTAGCTTGTACAATGTTGTGATCTTTAAATTTAATTCACATATATTGGTTGTTTGGATGTTTCTATTGATGTTTAGGATTTCACTTGATCAGTCTTATTTTGGTATATATGCATCCTCTGTGGACAGCCTTAATACTGCCAATAAATCCACCATCCATTTCTGCTTATAATTCTTATGACTTAAGGCAATATCTAGACAATCTGCACAGGATGCTTATATACTAATAAGAGACTGATCAATTGTAATCCTAAACATCAACAAGAACATCCAAACATCCAATATACATGAATTAAAATTAAACTATCATTTATTAGATTCCTTAATTGACTAATAAAATAATTTATTTTCATTTAAATTTTTTGCACCAATAATAAAACTTAGAAATTTTTCTTATTGAATACTGTAATTATTATTTAACTAGAAAACTAAAAGTATATGTGAATTTATGGAAAATACCTTAATAATTAAATGTAACTAGACTAATTCAGAAGTCTATTGATGATAATGGTACTTAAAACTTTTTTATCAGAAGAGGGTTTTGTGGAAACTTTAGTAAGTTAATAGTTGAATTCATAAGTCAATTGAAGCTAGATTACTATGGAAAACCTGGAAGCATTGAAATGGTTGAAATTAGACAGATAGGTCCTGGGTTCGAATCTCGCTGGGCAGGATCAAGGATGCGCACTGCTGAGGAGTTCCATACTAAAACAAAACGGTCGTCCAGTACTTCCAGGTTTTCCATGGTGGTCTAGTTTCAATTAACTCATGAATTCAACTATTAATTTTTTTTAAAAATTACATAGAAATATTTCATTTCATTTAGTTTGTCCTGATTACTTTGATTAGAAATACAAAACATTCATAATTTTCCTTCTATTATAATTTTACAAGACACCAGTTGAACTGAATTAACTTTATTTCTTCATTATTATTTTACATGAATTAGGTACGTGTTACACATACAATTGATAGAACTGATGAAACAAAAGAAATTCGTCAACTATCAGATGGAGATTGGTTTGGAGAAAGAGCATTATACACGTGAGTTTATTCCTTCAATGAAACTTATCATTTTAATTATTATACAAGTGAAAACTGATTTTCGATTGTTATTGAAATCAGATAAAGTGATACATAAACGAATTATTTAAGTGAAATTGGACAAAATAAGCAAAACGAAATTAAATTCAAAACTCAACTGTATTGTTACCTAGTAGAAAATTCATCAAATGAACAACACATATTCAACGTAATTTTATACAATAGAAAAAGAATGAATAATAGCATTAAGGTAAAATAAGCTAAATATAAATAAACAATAAAATGAGTGAATAGGATCTCATCACGAAGTCAGCACATATAAAATTAAGATAAGTATACATTTACTGAGTCTAAGTCCTTTATAATGTACTGAAACAAAAGTTACAAGTATGGAGATTAAGTATATGACAGTAATTTATCTAGAACGATCAGGTATTTAATAAATACAATTAAAACTATAGGAAGTGGTTAATAAAACATGTATTATACGCACAAATAAGATTATTTTGTATACATATCAAATACTGTTCTAAGTTCCATTTTCATCAATCAAAGAATATATATATTAACACTGTTGGATGCCGGCTCAGTGGTCTAGAGGTTAAGCGTTCGTGTGCTAGACCGATAGGTCCTGGGCTCGAATCTCGCTGGGCAGGATCGTGGATGCGTACTACTGAGGAGTCCCATACTAGGACGAAATGGCCGTTCAGTGCTCCCAGGTTTTCCATGGTGGTCTTGCTTCGAATGACTCATGAATTAAATATATATATATATATATATATATATATATATATATATATATATATATATATATATATATAATTAAAACTCTAAAACTTGATTTACATTTCCCGATTATTCATTTTTTTATATTTGAACCATCAAAACGATTTATGTCACTAATGTTTATGTTATATGCAATTAATTCATTATTTTGATTCCTGAGTTAGAGAGGAAAAATCTTCATTGAAAAATACAGAGACCGTGTAGTAGTTAGAGGACTTGGATTTTAACCATGTTCAAGCAGTGCTTTAAATCTCTCGATTTAAACACAATGGTATCATCATAAACTCGGTAACACAAAGTATCGCAGAAAGCTGGATACATTAAATTTTATTCGGTAAATGAGTTAAAGTATATATAATAATAGCATTTATCAAATTAAAACATTTATATTAATATATACCTTTAGTGGTATGACTAAATAAAACCTCCCATGTTTTATACTAGTAGACATTATGAGTAGTTGAAAGCAAATAATATCAAATAGTAGCATATATCATTTCTAATAGCTATTTTCTACTACATAAAACACCCATACTTTTTAGTTCAAATACAAAAAGTCACTAGTTATTAGTTCAATCACAGCATCTGAAGTGTCTTTCTCTTTTTAAACACGTACTGAAGTTGGAAATTGATATATCATTAAAGAATTCTATCACCAACATCTTTAATCTACTATTCTCCTTGATCGTGAAAAAACAAATAAATTGTATTGACATACGTTATAAAATTATCTAACTAATAGACGATATCTATATTGCAAGTATGACAGTTAATGATGAATATAATTTTATGTTTTTAGATGTGAAAAACGAAGCGCCAATGTAATATCTGCTGAAGGTGGTGTACATTTACTCTCATTGGATAGGAGGTAAATATAAGTTTATAGAAACTCTTTTTGGTCATTATGTATATATACTGTACGAAGATTTCGCAAATCATGTTATTGTGTAACCATCTTATGTCAGTCATCCTGGTGGATATTATTAAACACTAAATTACCAAGTTTTACATTTTGTCGGTTGTATTGCAAAATCCTACTATCATCCACATTAAAATTAAACTGACATTCTTTATGCTATTATCCCATATCTTTACTAATACTGAGTGACTAAAATGTAAATAAACAGTAGTTTGTTGATGATTATTTAAATACTACTGTTAAACCATAATAATCCAATATGTTTTTCTTAATCTTAATCCCTGTCATTATGTGAGGTCTGACTAAACTTCATCTGTTATTCTAACACTCTTTTGAAAGGTATCAAAGTGAAGTGAATTAATGAAATATTACATATATAAATATTATGGGAAAAAGTACTACTTTGACTTCATAGCGTACGCTTATTTGCTTTAAATTTTAAATGTTATTATGATCTCTATGATTTATTTAGTTGAATATTACTTAAAGTTAAATCTTCATGAAATAATTCCCAAATTTATTATTATGTTTTTATGTAAAACTCTAAGGAAGTTTGTACATCTAGATTAGTTCAGTATGGAAAAGATAGATTGATATTTCTGAGAATTTTTTGCTAACTTATTATCTTCTTTTACTAATCAACTGTTTGTTAATTACTTCTTACAAAATGTGCCTACCTCGACGTACAATTTTTGCGGGTGTACAGGTAGATTGAAAGAAAGCTAGGGGCCGCTGAACTGAAATGTGCGTGAAGCCATTGAATATTGGTCTGAGCCATCTAGATAGGTGCATATTACTAGATTAGGGTCCTTGCAATAATTATAATAAACGATTAGAGACTTCAGGTGATATGATTCAGGATCATGCTTATTGGTGTAGGCACATTCACTTTTAACCATCCCTTAGATTCTAGGCTTCTTAATTATCCTAAAAATAATTTTTTTATTACTTCACATATTCAGAATTTTTACTACTTATACTTATTCACTTACCTATGCCTATTACTCCCGATGGAGCATAGGTCACCGACCAGCATTCTCCAACCCACTCTGTCCTGAGCCTTGCTTTTTAGTTCTATCCTATTGTTGTTCATTCTTCTCATGTCTGTCTCCATTTCTCGGCGTAATGTGTCAGTGCAACTCCTTGTGTATGTGGGGCGTTTTCTTCTTCATGGCCGGAGTATAACAGAAGCTCTCCTGAAGCTAGTCTTTGTTGTCCAACCTGCGTCCAATATTTTTCACTGATTCCAAGCAACTCCAGGTTGTATCTTTTCATTTCTGCACCAATTTGAATGACTTTCCCGGTTTACCACATTGCATGAACATTCGATTTACCTAAATTAATGGTTGCTCTGGTTGTCACAAGGGGCATCAGCCTCGTGACTTCCGAAGGATCTCAGCTTTCACTATGTTGCGTCATAACTCTTCTAAATGAAAACCAAACTCTCAGGACAGAGTTTAAATGGTTTTCTGGTTAACGGTTTTTTAGCGAGTTAGTTTTCTACGGGATGGTATTGCTAACCCCTTGCCAAACCCTTCTCTTTTATCCGGGCTTGGGACAAGCAGTAGCATCAGAGGTGCTTCAGGCGGAGTTACTACTTATACTGTTACTGCATTTAGCTAATTGACTAAATTTTAAAAAAAACGAATCATCAACAATTACACCTGAAATTAATTCTAGTTTAGAATAATCACCTATTAATAATCCAGTAAACACAACTAATAACACCAAATAAAATGTTCTTTCTAATTCCAAATTCGACTAATCTCTAGTGTCTAATCTGTGTTTCCATTACCCAATAAAATCCTTTATTTAATTATTTTAAAAGAAAGACAACAAAGAAAAGTAATTTCTTTCTCCTATTTTTTTCTTTCTTTTCTTTATAGTAATTTTATTTATCTAATTGGTGATTTAAATGAATTCAAATCTAAAACGTATGATGATATCAATCGTCCATCTACTGGGTAAATAAAATTATTTCTATCCTATAATATTAAATGTTATTTTGGTAAATTGGTTAAATGAATGTTCTTTTTTTTTTTAAAAAAAATAAAGGTAAACATATGTAACTTGGCAATTGATGTAATGCTTATTGATTACTTTTTTTAATGATAACCAATATCCTTTTGCCATCTCGTTTAATTGTTAGTATCTGTTGATTGAATGTTATCAATCTATTTGTAAAAGATCATCATTCATCTAAATGACATACTATTATGATGTATTACAATTGATGTTAAATGACTGTAGTTAATTTTATAGAAATATTCTATTCTCTAATAAGAATTTTACATGACTGACCAGTTTTGTTTTATGATTCATGATTTTGAAAAATTTACACAATTCTATCTGATAAATAGACATCGAAGCAACCACGAGCATGCTTTACCTTCTATTCAAAAAGATTTGGGACGAGAAACAAGTGCCGATGGACTGGAAAGAAGGACACCTCGTCAAGATTCCAAAGAAAGGAGATCTGAGCAAATGTGAAAACTACAGAGGCATTACACTACTGTCAATACCAGGGAAAGTCTTCAACAGATTGTTGCTGAACCGGATGAAGGATGCAGTAGACGCCCAACTTCGAGATCAACAAGCTGGATTCCGTAAGGATCGGTCGTGCACAGACCAAATTGCGACACTACGGATCATCGTCGAACAATCAGTTGAGTGGAACTCATCACTATACATCAACTCCATTGATTATGAAAAGGCATTCGACAGTGTAGATAGGAGGACATTATGGAAACTTCTTCGACACTACGGAGTTCCTGAGAAGATTGTCAATATTATCCGGAACTCATACGACGGACTACAGTGCAAAGTAGTGCATGGAGGACAGCTGACAGATGCATTCCAAGTAAGGACTGGAGTCAGACAAGCTGTTTACTCTCTCCCTTCCTCTTTCTTCTGGTGGTCGACTGGATTATGAAGACCTCAACATCTGAAGGAAAACACGGAATGCAATGGACAGCTCAGAACCAATTAGACGAGTTGGACTTCGCAGATGACCTAGCCCTCCTATCACGTACACACGAACAGATGCAGATGAAGACAGCCAGTGTAGCAGCAGTCTCTGCATCAGTAGGCCTCAGCATACACAAAGGGAAAACCAAGGTCCTCAAATTCAAAGCGAAAAACAGCAATCCAATCACTCTTGATGGCGAAACTCTGGAAGATGTAGAGTCCTTCACATAACTGGGAAGCATCATCGATGAACAAGGAGGTTCAGATGCAGACGTAAAGGCGAGGATCGGCAAAGCAAGGGTCGCATTCCTACAATTGAAGAACATATGGAACTCAAAACAACTTTCAACCAATATCAAAGTGAGAATCTTCAATACGAACGTCAAGGCAGTTCTACTGTATGGAGCTGAAACTTGGAGAACTACAACAACCACAATCAAGAAAGTACGAGTATTTATAAATAGCTGTCTACGCAAGATACTCAACATCCATTGGCCGGATACCATCAGCAATAGCCTTCTGTGGGAGAGAACAAACCAACTTCCAGCTGAAGAAGAAATTAGGAAAAGACGATGGAAATGGATAGGACATACATTACGCAAATCGTCAAACTGCATCACGAGGCAAGCCCTAACTTGGAATCCTGAAGGGAAGCGAAAAAGAGGAAGGCCAAAGAACACATTGCGTCGGATAATAGAAGCAGATATGAAAACGATGAATTACAACTGGACGGAGCTAGAAAGGATTGCCCAGGACAGGGTTGGATGGAGAATGCTGGTGAGCGGCCTATGCTCCTTCACGAGGAGTAACAGGCGTAAGTAAGTAAGTATCTGATAAATACTAATATTACGAATGGAATCTGTTTTTAGACTTAACTAGATTTATATTTGTTATAAGATCTAGTAGGATAATAATGGTATAAGGCAGTTACCTATTGAAGACCCATGTAAGATGGTTTCACAATATTGAGATTTAATTGAAACTAGATATTTAAACTGGTGGTTTGAAGACTGAACACTTACTTTTAAACATAAACTTTTTGTGTTCAAATCATGGTGGGTTTGTGAATGCTCACTTCTAAGGAGTTTCTTACTAGACGAAACAACTGTGTTATGCCGTTCTTTGAAAACATTCTAATATGTATTTTATTGCATATCTTTGTATCATAACTCTTATGTTTATTGTATTTTATTAAGTCTATTCATTCCGTTTTTTGATTTAACGTCTGTTTGACGCTTCCTTTGGATTTTAGATGGTCTATTTAGCTCCCAACGTTAATTAGTTGTCATGATTGAGAAGATTTGTAGCTCAGATGTATGATTTTGATGGAGTTTTGCTCTCTGAGCTGGATGGTTTGGTCGTAGGAATTATGGACAAATATAGGACCAAAAATCAAACCAATGGAAGATAAAACTAAAATAAAGAAGTAAACAATGACAAGATTAGGGTCAACAATAACCAAAAAACATCGAGGTCTACAGGACAAGCTGTGAACCATATATAGAGAAATTCGAACACTTCACTTCTACCTGAAGTTTATGCTGATGATGTCGTTCAGAATAACGATAAAAGCTCCATGACCAAACCATCAAGCTCAAAGAACAAAACTCCATCACAATTAGTTATCATACCTGCCGATATCTATTTACATATTATGTCTATCTGACTGATCATTTCACACTTAAAGAATGTTCACTACTTTTATCAAACATCGTTTATTCAGCCACAGTCATTCATTCTCTTTCCAAAGTTCTATGCTGATCTCTAGAGATTAGTTATTTGCTTCTTCCAACAATGAGAAATTTGTGAAATATTTTAAGAGTATTTGCAATGTTTACATGGACACAAATTCTCGCATATTCGGTTCAATATATTACTAATGAATGAAGGTTGGCTTAATTGATCTACTATACTTACATACCAGATTGTATTGCACATTCGATAAAACTTCTGTAGAGGTTGAATAACAAAATTAGTAAACCTTACTTGATCCATTTTAATCATTATGTAAATTTACTAAACCATAATAAGAAGTATTCACATTTTATTCATAGATTATCTCATATTAAAACATATTTTTTCTCAACCTGTATGATAAATTTACTTCATTATCCTGTCAATAATATCAAATATTAATTTCCCTTGATATTTGTATAATTACCGTTAATTGATTTACCCTAATCAATAGAATTAATTGTTTTTTTTTGCCCAGTTTCTCTAATCTGACATATGTATCTAATGCTTCTTTCGTATTTATCTTAATTTTTTATGATAAAGTACCCGTATAAGGCAGCGTATGTTTTTATTTACATTACATAGGATAATATCAACAAATTATCAACAATCAGTAGGATATTTAGATAAAGAAGAGATTGTTAGTACTCCACAAACTGTTGAACAAATAGAATCAAAGGATTTGCTCTCTTCAGTTAAAATTGATAAAGATGATTTAGAACGAATCACAGTTCTAGGTGTTGGAGGGTTTGGATGTGTCGAATTGGTAAATTTATTATGATAATATTGTATCGTATTTTGTATATAAAATTTAACATTTTAACATTTCTATTTTCTGATTTACTATGTACATTTATAAAGTGTTGAACATGTATGTTCATTGTTTGAGCGTCCAAGACAAAATACTAGATTATATTATCCAGAACTTATTGTTAATTGTACGTGAAGATCAGTATTTCACCATAGATTCATTTTGCTTTCTATGCCTTTGTATCATTCTCCTTGTACTTCTGAAGATGCTATATTTCAATCAAATGTTGCATTTTTCATCAATTCTATCATATAAAACCATATGTGACAGTCTTTTTGATGTAAATACTCAATTAAATGTTTCCTCAAACGATCACCAATATAACTTGGATAACTTTGAACACGTTATACTAGATAAATCAACATCATATTCAATCTCATCATATCTAGTTTCTAATTACTGAAAACACGAACTGATCCAATGTGGTCAATCATAAGCAAAGAGGATCCATTTGCTGTGTGGTTGATAGATGTTCATTCAGTAAATAGAGTAAACAGTCTCGTGTATGAAAAAGCATATATAACACTGTAGAATTACAGAAGAAATCCAGTATGAGCCAAAGTCCATTGAGACAATCCACAAACATTTAAATTCAATTCATAAAATAAGCGCTCAATTTAGTTAGATAGATCGTAAATATGTTTCGTTCGAAAGACTTTGGAACACTTTGAACCTTTAAAGTAATTTCCCAATCATGCCTTAGCTACAAAATCATTTGACTAAATAAAATGATGGTACTGAAATATCATTAAAATTCTTTTCCTCGTTAAATGCTCACATTTCTGTTGTGACTTGAGATTTGGGTTCGATTGGGCCTACGGTAATTTATAAGTACGAATAGTTATAATTATTCTACTACAAACGGAATTAATTGTGAAATGATGGTACCACACAAGTGATATACAACATTTCAGCATTAATTCAAATTGGCGAAGAAATACAGAAGGAAGCTGGGAATTTAAGTAAACGTAATATTCAGGAAGACACTTTTGAGGTAGAACAACTCTATATACATAGTAACAAAACATGACATTGGAATATAATAAAATTGACAAACTTTCAGTAAAAGCAATCGATTAGATAATATTAGAAGTTAGTATAGAAATAGGAACCAGAAGAATGTTATCGAGGTTATCTTTCAAACAAATGGATTAACATTAAATAACAAAAAAATTACATAACTTGAAATTTCCCTAGTAATCGCACACTGTATATAGACTATTTAATTATATAATTATCAAGACAGTATATTTTATTTACTATATTTTATTAAGGTTGTTTGGACAAAAAACAGAAACAAAACATTTGCATTAAAACGTATGAAAAAACAGCATATTGTCCATACACGTCAACAGGAGCACATTTGTTCAGAAAGACAAATAATGTTAGAACTTCGATGTCCATTTATTTGTCGGTAAGTAAATGTAAATTTTAATTTATAAGAAATTTTATCATATTTTGTTTATACTAGAGAATTTCTGCAATAAAGTAAATATAAGCATTTGCTTAATAGTTAGTATCTTTTAATTTTTGTCATATATTTGATTCATAACAATAATAACAATGATAATAATAATATGGAACTTTCTGTTCTCTAATTATCTTTTGAAATTTTTTTGATTCAGATCATGAACTGATTGATGTTAGACCACCGTTGAACACCTGGAAGCACTGGAAGGCCGTTTCGCCCCATTGTGGGACTCCTCAGCAGTGCGCATCCACGATCCCGCTCGCGGGATTCGAACCCAGGGCCTTCAGTCTTGCGGGCGAACGCCTAACCTACTGAGCCGGCATCCAATGGTGTTAATGTCTAGCCTCAACCGATCCACGAAATTGCGTGACCATCTTCCATTGTAACTAGGTAGATACCTGTCTCTACCCAAGACGAATTAGCTCCACTGGTCACGGCTTCTCACTAGAACTCCGAGAATTCCTTCACGAAGCTAGTTACTATTGAGCACATGTTAATTATCAGTATAAGGGTTGTGGAGATTATTATCAAAAACTTAATAATCTCCACAACCCCTATACTGATATCTCTTGAGAAATATGTTTTGTTTGAATTATTAAAATAAAAATCGATACTGACCACTTTACAGTCATAGAAGTCAATCAAATAGTGTTGGTTTATCAGAGAGTAATTTTTTGCAAATGACCTAATTAAAACTGGATCATTATTCAAATAGAATGTTAGGCCTTTCAAAACTAGTTTATAGAATTTCATCCAGAATATGAATAAAACATTTTGAAAAATAACATTGACTTATTTTAATATTTATCAATAATCTTTTAACTTCAGTCAATTAATAAGTTGTCAGTAGTATAGGATATGATACAAATGTAAATTCTTCCTAAATCCCGCTGTTTATATTAGTACGACGAATGTAGACTAAAAAATTCAAAGCTAACAGTGTCATCAAATAATGTCGATGACAATGAAAACGGAACATAAAAAATCTAGTTCACGAAACAATGATTAAACCAGAAAACGTAAATTATGAGATAATATTGAAACTATGGATTTAGTTGTAGATGAAGAATGAATGTATCTTTATCATTCTGATCGATTTCAAGCTATTATCATGTATTGTGTACAATGGTAAACTGCAATAATTTCGGTGGTCCCAGTTAGAATTTTTGTTCAAATTCAAGTAATAATTGTGGATTTACACAATAATTTTAAAATGTTTACTGTTTTATATGAAAAAAATATTGTGTTTCATTTAATAACTATATCATAAAATATTCCCCATACTTTGAAAATACAAAATATAACGGTGTATTGTATGCATTTATGAACATAGTTACGGTATTGGACATTCAATTATCATTTGTGCCATCTGCCATTTGTTAGTCCGTATACTTACTACTCCGTGTAACTGGTTATTTCTAACTGTTATATCATGACTTCTCTGAAAATTACTGATAATTTATTGAGTACAAAATGTATTAGACAGTTTAATTAGTTGAATTTAAGTGTTTTGTTATTTTCTATCATTACAGTCTATCTAATATAGTGAAGTCAGTATATTCATTACCAAAAATAATTTATTCAAATAAACACTTTTTTTATTTTTAGTTGATTTAATAAAACTACTGAATGTTTTGAATGTTCTTAACAATGGATCTATAAGTTTTATAAGTTATGTATTCAATAGTTGTTAATTCTTATTCATTTCATTCGGTTCTTACTCATTCAATTTATGTACGTCCATGTATGGTATCATTTCAAAATAACAAAACATACTTTCTCGAAATTAAAAGTGAAGGCATATTAGATGTATTATTATTATTATCAGAATGGGTTTTGTGGAGATTTTTACAAATTTCACAAGTTGAAATCATGAGCCAATTGAAGCTAGCTTCAGCTAGCTTCTCCACAAAACCCATTCTGATAATAATAATAATAATCACCTGCTCACTAGTGACTGACTTCAGGAGACACTCCTGGAGTTCTAGTGAGAAGTCGTTACCAGTGGAGTTCAACCAGGTCTGTTGTGAGATAGGAACTCACTGAAGACAATGGTGTACGGTGGCGCAACTTCGTGGATTGGTTGAAGTTAGACATTAACACCGTTGGATGCCGGCTCAGTGGTCTAATGGTTGAGTGCTCGCGCGCGAAGCCAGTGGGTTCCGGGTTCGAATCCCGCGGGGGGCGGGTTCGTGGATGCGCGCTGTTGAGGAGTTCCATACTATGGCGAAACGGCCGTCCAGTGCTTCCAGGTTTTCCATGGTGGTCTAGCTTCAACTGGCTCATGATTTCAACTTGTGATATTAGATGTATCTTTATGAGAGCTACAGACATAATTTTGCACTCAACGCAAATCGAATGTTTTTTTATAGTAATTGTAGAAAACTATATGATTGCAGATTTACAATCGGTTACACCTAAAGTGATATTAACGAATTAACTGAGTAATGGCTGTTATTGAAAACGGATTTATTGACTTAAAGTCCCAATAAACGGTTGTCTCAAGACAGAAAAACTGGGCAGAAACGAATTAGAAAAATGACACTTATATATACAAAATGTTTAGCTCGAAAATGAGCATTATTAAAAAGGTTGATCAACATGAGAAGTCATTCCATAGCTATCAACCTTGCTTCATACCACTCACATCATTTATCGATCATTATGCAAGTGGGGATGAATTGATTCTGAACAGACATAGGGTTAAAACTGTGATATGGAAATTAAGTGGTCCAAACTATTTTTTTATGTCACAAATGTTCAAGCCTAATAATGACTGTTTAAATTGCTTAAAATTTTAATAAACGTTTACTAGTTATAACCTATACGTCATTCAATTCGCATACTATAAAGTAAATCTCAGGTCAAATAATTTCCTTTTTTCTTACTTGAGTTGAGTACATGAAATGTAGATATCAACTAAGAAGTCAGTGTAGGAAGCATTTAACGTACAGATATCACAGCAATTTAAAACACGTATCAACTTACAATATGTATATATACAGCGGAATACACTAACTATTTATTACAGTCATTCATCTCTAATAATAAGATATAATACTAACTAGTATTAGATTTCAAAATACACTTTATGAAACTACCAGATAAATAGAAAAGTAAAACATTAGGTTATGCTAGTTTCAGTTGAAACAACAATTAGCCGAATATTTAGCCTGGGAATTTAAAATGAACACAATTAACACATTAATATATGTATTTTTAATAACAATATTATTCGTAAATTGCTTGAGGTTAGACATTGACACCGTTGGATACCGGCTCAGTGGTTCAGTAGGTTAAGCGTTCGCGCGCGAGGCTGAAGGCCCTGGGTTCGGATCCTGCGAGCGGGATCGTGGATGCGCACTGCTGAGGAGTCCCACAATGAGGCGAAACGGTCCTCCAGTGCTTCCAGGTTTTCAATGTTGGTCTAGCACTAATCGATTTATCATGTCAATCAAAAATAATATTACTGGTCTAAGAATAATTCATATAGACGTTGACAACAAAATTTATGTACTAATTTTTCTGAAATCCAATTTTTCAGTTAGAGGATTAAAATGAAAATTTTAATTAATAATTTATTTCTAAGGTCAAGATACTAACTATTTCCCTTTGAGATTTAAACTAAAATCATATTAATTCAATTAAAATCAAGACAGTGTGTATAGAATATAATGAAATAACTAGGGGCTATGTTTAGAGAGAGAGAAAAAAACATACTAAGTAGACGAAATAATGATTAATTAACATTCTGCTTCTCTCTTGGTTTTGAATCAAAATGTACCAGTATTTTTCTTCTGTAATTGACCAATCTACCCAAGTGTATGATAACTAGAATTTCTTGTTTTAAATGTATATGGTATAAATGATAGAAACAGCTTACTTTCTTTACTAAAAGAAAAATAGTCTTTGAAAGCTTTCTGAGTATGATGTTCCATGTTGAATTGATACAGACAGATACGACGTGTTTGAAAAATACATTAAAAACTAACTATAATTGTGCAGAGAACATTTTAAAAAATATTATGACACAAAAATCATTCCTTTAGAAGTAAATACATTAATATTAAAGTAAAGAAAATAATTGATGACTGAACTATTTGTTAATGTACAGTCAGTCAGCTACAACGTAGGACCAGGCACATATGTGCATCGGTCCAGGTTGCCATACCGCATCAGCACAACAAGATGAACACCGGATTCACAGCAGTGGTTAGGTCAAAGGTAGTAATATGTAAGAAAAAGATTGCATATAGAGATATAGTACAAGAAGAAAAAAATTGGTTCGTAGAAAGAAAGATGTGAAGCGATTTTAATCTCTTAGTTTAAGGGAAGACAGGGAGTGTATACACCGACGCCATTGTGATCGATTCTGAGCCATGTCACCAAGAGTCTCCAACCATTGGTTACGACAGTATTTCACTGCCTGTTAACAATAAGTCAAGACAGTAAGATATGTATTAATTTTAACTTGATTTATCCACGGTCAGGATTGTGATTTTATCAGGAGAAACATTTTGTCATTTGTTGACATCTACCAAGCAGATACAGGAATATATGCTGATTGTCTGTGAATATCCAATGCCAAAAAAAGTAGCTTAATGATCATATTACTTGGCATAACTAACATCTTGAATATCGATTACTTACCACTTGTCAAAGTGCTCACATAACAAGGGTTGTGTCAAATGATATGACGTCTTTAAAAATTGGGCATTTTTGATTAGTTTCATTGTATGAAGTAACTTGATAATCTTTTAACTATATAATCAAATCTAACATTTAGCAATAAAATCAATTCAAAATTCTGTTCCAGAATCTTACTTAGTAACACTAACCGAACCGTCTTCACTAATGATCACAGATAAAACAACAAATCCAAGTTATATTACAAGTGGATTTTGTTTAGGTCCTGGGTTCGAATCTCGTGGGGGGGGCGGGATCGTGGATGCGCACTGCCGAGGAGTCCCATACTAGGAAGAAACAGTCGTCCAGTGCTTCCAGGTTTTACATGGTGGTCTAGCTTCAATTGACTCATGATTCCAACTATTGGAATCAATAATTACTGAGATTAGATTGTTCAGGTTTTAATGTGTCGTTTAGTTTTATTTTTTCTACTATTTAATAAGTTATTTTTAGCTTTGAAATAGAATGTTTAAAAGTGCTCCTGAACTACTGGAAATTTTCGAAAATAGAATGTCCAGGAAATTGAATTTATTCATTCAGTTGATTTCTACTGGTAAAAAATTACAGGTTATAATAGATTAGCATTGTTATTTGTTAATGACATCAATCTGTTTCAGTACTGTCCCATACATTACAAACAAGCTTTCTTATAACATATTACAATATGATATACACAATTTTATATTTGTTATTCATATATTTTCAATGTTGAATGTTTCTAATCTTTGTTCATAGTTTTCCTATACTTTCACTATTTTAGACTTTACTGTACATATAAAGATAATAAATTTGTATACATGCTGTTGGAAGCTTGTTTAGGTGGTGAGTTATGGACAGTTTTACGAAATAAGTGAGTAAATATTTTGTTAAATTTGTCTTCTTTATGAGTTAACATCTCTTTTATAACAGATAATACTATATATAAATACAAATACATATATATAGTCTATTAGTAATCAGTAGTAGGTTTTTATTAGCCCTTAGTTCAGATTGCATTCTATTGATCAGGTTGTAATGTATCCATAAATCTGAATGACTCTACACCGCATATATTATATCTGGTGTTAGGCGGTTTTTTATAATGTCTCAAACTGCATGGCTAAGTGATAGGAAAAACCAGTTCCCTCAAGACTACAGACATACTTTTCTGAACACAAAACCTATTTTTAGGGTTTCCTACTGAATGACTTCAGCTATCTAACACTAAAATATAGAGCATGCGATATTTCTTCATTCAGAATACTGGCCGCATTGAAACGTGGGCTATAGAATTAGATTAGCACTAAAGAGCAGACTATTCGGCGATCAAGCGACGAATATATACACATTCATTTCTAACGTCTTGTTAAATAGTTGTCCCTTTGAAGTTAGATTTCATCATGGGTTGATTGCAGATAAGAAGTTATTAAAAGGTAGTTAATACTAGGTCAACTCAGTCATCTTTTCGAAAGTGAGGCAGTAGTAGTTACCCACCGATATCATTAGATGATGATTCTATATTACAAATTAGTTGATGCTGAAAATATGTTCCGTTGAATTTCAACTCGGTATAATTAATATTAGATTAAAAGAATTTTTATTTGATAATTCATCTGATTATGACTAGTGTTGTTCTGTCATTAATTAGATATGTGAAAAGTTCACAGTAGGTTATATATGAAAACATTGTAGAAAGAATATTCAGTGTTAATAATTAACAAGAGTACAAATTTATTTGATAGAATCAACTATTAACTAACTGATTACTTTTAATTGAATTGATAATGCACAATGCAAAGAGAAAAATAGGCGATAAAAAAGTAGGTGAAGGTTAAATAAGATATTTATTAATTTTTGTATCAGAACAGATGGGAATGTATTTAGATTATTACAAATTATCATTGTAATCTACCATTAAAGGTTCAGAAATAACGAATTCATGTAAGAACTATTGTCTAAATTTAGTCAGATAGTTTCACAGCATTCAGGTGTCAAGTTGATGTGACACATTAAGCAGGGAGAATGTATTTGTAAAATTTCAGAGAATGAATTCCAAGTACATCCAACATTTCACTTGACAATCTGGTTCAAGCTTTTCAACGAAATACAATCAAATATCAAGATTATCAAATATAAATAGATATATGGTTCTCTGGTTAACTGTATACTAAATAGGTTATTCAATCACGTTAACACTGTTTAAAGTAAGAATTTACTTTAATGTGTATGAAACATGTGATTTGAAACGAGAATTATGTTAAAATAATAGATTGTTTGTATTGTGTGTAAGCGGATCTGAGTTGTAAGAAGAAATTTCATTCACTATTTATCGCCTCATTAATTCATTATCTTCTAATGAAGCGATAAATAATTAAATACTGATGAAAGATACTGACTATTAAAAACGTATACAATGTTTTGACTAAGTACAATTTGAATATATGTTAGAGAGATATTTATTTTAATATTGCAGAAATTATGCTGAAAATTATGTACTATAAAGAAATTTCTAGTATTATGTAAAGGTATTACTACTATTTCTAATACATCTACATGTGATCTCATTGGAAAATAGTTTTTCAAGATTATGCTTTCATATGAATGTAAAATAAGGAAAAAGATTTGTTTTGCAAATCAACGATTCTCTAGACTGTTGATTATTAACTGTATTCGTGGATTGGTTGAAGTTAGACATTAATAACGTTGGATGCTCGCGGGACTGATAGATCATGGGTTCGAATCTCGTGGGGCGAGATCGTGAATGCGCACTGCTGAGAAGTCTCATACTAAGATGAAACAGCCGTCCAGTGCTTCCAAGTTTTCCATAGTGATCTAGCTTTATTCAACTCGTGAATTCAATTATTAAACTCTATTTAGCTCAATAATTATTTTATAAAGCGTGTTATGGTCATTTTGATTCAGTGTTCACTTTGACCATTTTGCCAAGTTTAACGTAGATTATTCGTCAAGTAAATTATCAATAATTCATTTGAGGTAATATACTTGGATGAGTCTAATTGACAAAAAAGTAGTAATAGTAATAATATTTCAAAAGAAGGTTATTAGGGTTTGCTTTACTTAGTTTGTTTTTCAGTTCGTAATACTTCATTCTTTTAGCGATGGTGCTAAATTTTTTATAGAGTTTAATCCAAAATAATATTCAGAAAAATAAAAACAATTTACTATATCTTTCAAATAAGAAAAATAAGTTTTTGTCTTTGTGTTGGTTTCAAAACGTTATTGAGATTACAAATCAAACTAACTTGGGTAAACATTGGAAACTAGGAAGCACTGGATAGCTGCTTTATTCTATTATGGGACTCCTGAACAGTGTGGATCCACGATCTAGCCACCGGGTGTAGAATCTATAATCTTCATCTCCCAAATTAACAGTTTAGCCGTCAGACCATTAAACAGGCACTTGATGGTTTACATGCCTAAATTCAATTAATCCACGGGATAATGCAACGATATTCCATTGTCTTTGGTGGGTAAGTGTCTCACACCTGACACAGTTAGACTACTCTGGTCATGGGTGCTCAGCAGAACTCTAGGAATTACATCATGATATTAGCCACTAGTTAGCATGTGATAATAATTACTCTTATACTTATTTTAGGATCCCCACTCAACTTTCGTATCTTATATTTTATAAATAAGACAAATTAACGAACCAAGTGAGAGATGCTAGTGGAATACAATATTATTTATGAATCAACTTTACTTAACACTAATAATAGTGGAATTACAGTAGTTATTGTCAAGTGATTATTTAGTGAATGTTACTTTCTACGGCGATGAGAACTAGTGATTACTCTTATAGCTGGACTGATTACTGAAGCAAATTATATGAATTTATGTTTTAGGGGTAAAATGGTCAAGATAGAACGTCTTTCTACGATTGTAAACATAATCTCTTAGTTACTATCTCTAAGAATAAAACATAGATAGTATACCAATACTGGATTATTTCGAACATAAAGTGAATAAGTTATCATATGTTTAGGAAAATAAATAAAGGTGTTTATGTCATCCTGTACAATTAACGAGTCTTTTGTGAATAAAATCTTCATTTTGCTCAGTCTTTTTGTCATCACTTGATGCGTGCGTAGACGACTTGTTATATTAATCAGTTTCCTAGAGGTAATCATTGTCATTATTAACAAGTTCCTAGTTTTAACGAAATTCTACTGTTTTACATTACTGTAATCAAACGTATGATTCAAATCCCATAGAAGCATAGTTCTAGGCTGAATAACTTACTCATACTATCTCTATTTACATCATTTTATGGATCGAGTTCAAATAATTTCTAGAACCTTGTTGATAATTAATAAAATCTAGCATAAATGTACGAAATAGGGATTTTTGTCAATTTATCTTAAAGATAATCTATTTAAAATATATAAACATACAATTTAAAAAATGGTTCCTGTTTTTTTTAACTCTTCAAGAGGTCGATTTGATGATGTTATGACACGTTTTGTGGTTGCTTGTGTTTTGGAAGCGTTCACTTATTTACACACACAAGGCATATTATATAGAGATTTAAAACCAGAAAATTTACTTCTTGACCATAAAGGTTATGTGAAATTAGTAAGTTATTCATTTTTAATTGAATTTATGTATTAAATGAATATTGTAGTAAATATTGTCACATTTTTGTTTCTTAACTTTCATAATCAGTTTTACCGAATATATCTTATATTGTATTTAGTTTGATGATACATTTTAACTAATAGTAAAGTATCAGAAGCAGTTTTGTGGATATTATGGTAATTTCAATAGGTGAGACCATGAGTCAATTGAAGCTAGACCACCATAGAAAACTTGGAAGCACTGGACGACCATTTCGTTCTAGCATGGGACTCCTCAGCAGTGCGCATCCACGATCCTGCCCCGCGAGATTCGAACCCACGACCTATCGGTCTCGCGCACAGACACGTAACCTCTAGACCACTGAGCCGGTATCCAACGGTGTTAATGTCTAACTTCAACTAATCCACGAAATTGAGCGACACATAGAAAAGTCATCACTCTAGTGGATAAACAGACAGATCAAGAGTTGGAATAAATTAGTATCACTATTCCAATCGATTTATAATATTATTAGAAATTATTAAGACGAAATCAAAATATTGGATAGGTAATGTAAACAAAATGATTCTTAAATGAAATGGATAAACATACTTGTAATGTTGTATCATTTAATGAAAGTAGGTTTTATCAGTAAATTGATAATTCCTATATTTATTTTAGTGTAAATTAGAAATCCGCAAGGTGATTATTTTCAATTTAAAGTCCATAATAATGGGGGTAAACTAGTTTATATTTTAACCAACTTATCATACATATATTAATGCAGTTAGTTCTGACTCATATCGTTTTTTGTGGGTTACAGATAATACTAATCTGTCGAAACTTATATAGGCGAAACGAGTTCTGAATTTACAATCCGTTGGTTAAAATCTGAATGTTCAAATTAATTAACTACCATTAACTCAATGTGTAGATATAATCTATGTAGACGTCAACGGAATGCTATAGTTAATGGCACCAAGAGCATCTTGGAAATTACTTATTCCAATCTATCAGCCCCTGAAGATTATTTCTAATTCTTAAATTTTATCTTCAAATCGAATTAAAATTAGACTGATACTTGTTAGAACATTGGGCTACTTTTCGCTTTTGCTAATAACATATTTACCCGAAATGATATTCGATGCATAAATGTTAGAGGTTATACGATTCACTACATTTTATTTTTATTTTTGTTATTTGTAATTACCTTTCTGAATAAACCCGCACTAGGATACTGTGAAGAATCAAGGTTATAAGTTAAAGCTGGAGGTTAAGGTTAGGAATTAGAGTTAGGGTTTTCACCACAAACCGATATCAACTATAATGCCAAAATGTTATTTAGTTATATTTATGGATGAGTTTCGTGCCAAAATTCAACACCTACTGTCTCAAACCTCATTGGTTCGTTCATATATTATAGTCTCATCGATTTCTTAGTTAGTAATATTCGTATGTAATTAGTTGCATTGATCTATATACATAATACTCCGACCCTTAAATTAATCAGGAGTTTATCTAAAGATTAATCACTGTCTGGTAAATAGTCAACATCAAGTTCATCCCATTTATTTTAATACAGTTGAGAATATTTATTTTATAATGGAAAATGTAACTATTATTCAATCTAAGAGTAGTTTGTTCAATCTGGATGACTATTTCGAGTGTATACTTATACAACATTTCAGAATAGAAGAAAGTAATCGACCAGTAATCTTAATCAACCGATGATTATGCTTGATCAGTAGTTTCTGGATACAAGTGAACTAATCAGTTGGTAAAATTCTTTCCAACTTTATACTATGAGTTAAATTAGGTTTCCAATGAAACTAAGCATTAATTAATCATCTAGGCGCCGTTATTAAAATTAAATTAATTAAACAACAGAATATCCGACAAACATTTTTTTAATACTTTGATGTTACTATTTAGTGTATATTTTTGATGATAATGCTTGTTATAAAACAATCTTGTATTCAATTATTTTATACATCTTTATCTATTAAATCAATCCTAATGCCCCTGGTGATAATGATCAATTATGACTGAGATAAAATTTCTAATTTCTCTGTCAAACTTTAGTAAACTTATATAATCTTGACACAATTTTCTTCCTTATTAATTTGATCGATCATTGCACAATTTGTCGCACATATATCTTTCAGTTAAATCACATTTAATGCAAATTTAATTGTTTTCTATGTATAAATGATAATAGTAATAATGATAATAATGCTATAAATATAGATAAATTCATTAAAATGACTTAAAAATTGTTTCATTCATCTTAAAATGAAGATAATAAACTTTGAAAACAAACATATAAAATGTAAGTGAATAAGCTCAATCTCATGCTCTTTCTCTCCCTCTCTCTCTCTGTGAGTCTGAGTGTGTATGTGTATGTCTCTTTAGTTCAATTAATTTCATCTGAAAATCAATAATGAGTAGTAGATCGGCAGGAAAAATCAAATAACTAAAAAGTTTTCTTTTAACAAAAGTATTTAATAAATATCATTTTTTTTAAAAATGATTTCATTTGTGTTAAATGTAGGGAAAAAAATAGATGGTTTTATTTGATAGTTAAACATCAATCAAATACGCAGAGATGAATGATGGCTAGCAGTGCAATCCAGGACGCGCATTTCGTCCTATTTGGGACTAGTCAGCTGGATGTACCTGCATCCAAGAGATAATGTTTACTCCAGGAATTCAACCCGGTATTGTTCGCTTCAATCGCTATCGCGTTATCCATTTAGCTACTGAATTCAGATAGTCACTAGCTTGTACGATGAGTCAACCTGCCTACGAAAATTTAAAATCTATACATTTCTTGCTTAATATTTTACAAAAATCCATTTAATAGTACGATAAACTGACCAATTATGTAATGTAATACATAAATAATCAGTTTTAGAATATTTTTAACTAATTTATCCAGGTTATATCAAACTGTGCAGTAAAATGAAGTAGTTTTGAATATTTCGCATTTTATTTTTACAAATGCCCTGGCACGACCGAGGGTGGGGGGAGTTAGCTCTCCCCTCTCGAAATGCTCTCACATGGCCACATGCATATAACCACTGCCAGGGAAGTTCTTCTCACTTCATCCTCGCGGCGGGGTGTTGGTCACAAAACTGAAAGGACGAAACGTGGATGTTCGGTGCTTAAACCGGGTTGGCGGATATGGAGGATCCACCTAAGGGAGTTGGAAAACTCTGATTCCAAACCAATGATGCACATGGACTACAGGATCCTGAAGGAACAAATGGCGTATGAACCCATTATTGGTCACCAGCTACCATGGGACTGCATCTACTAACTACTAACTACTCTCTTGTGGATTAGACCTGTAGGTCAAAGGCTCGGGGCATGGCCCCCTGAGGAAACCACCTGCTTTGGTCTGGGCACCCGGGGAGTATCACAGCTCACACACAAATCGAATGACGAGGTGCGGCGCATATGTATTCGATGCCCCTTTGTCCCAATATTTATGTGTTCAAATAAATAAATAAATCACACTGATCCTGGAAGATATTGATATTTCCATTGAAATTCTGAACTAGTACTTTAGAAAAGAAGTTAACTGGATTTTAAATTTTGAATAAATATATAGGCTTCTATAACCATTAAAGTTTCCTCTTATTAATTAATTAGACATTATCTTTAAGAAAATATTTTTTTATTTTTGATAGATGATTTAATAAAGCTCATACGAATGATATATAACTAAAAAGTATTATTGTTCTGTAGGTATACTGTCCAGATAATAAAATTGATTGTTATTTGAATTCTAGATTCTCAGTCGTATATGAATAACTACCGTTAGTGAACAGATAAATATAGACTTATTCTTTGAAACTTCTAACTGATCATTTTATTAAGATATAATATTATCTTACCGGTCTTGGCTTCCTTTGAACTCAATAAACATGAGTGCTAATTATATGTACTTACGTACTATTACAAATGAGTTACATATTATTCCGAAGTTAAATACTAGAAAATACAGAGAGAAACACTACAGTTTGTGACACGGTATCCTTTTCATTCATCCTTTGGATAAATCAGAGATAAATATATTGAAAATTAAACACTTTATATATAATATGCGTTACTAAATATACCTGTTATGAATTATTTTAGTGTGACTTTGGATTCGCCAAACGAGTTGGACATGGTAAAAAGACTTGGACATTTTGTGGCACACCTGAATATGTCGCACCGGAAATTATTTTAAATAAAGGACACGATAATTCAGCAGATTATTGGTCACTAGGTATTCTTATTTATGAATTACTTACGGGAAGGTAAACTTATTTTTGTTACGTATCAATACTCTATGAGTGTTAATTTACATATTTTATTAATAAAGTTAAAAATTATTGTTACGTACCGAGCTTTACTTTACATGTTCGAGATTGGTATAAGCAATAAAAAACTAGTCACTGGGCTTAATGTATGGCTTAAGTTATAAAAATTCCGGTATAATAAGCGAAGATAGTATCATACGTGATAATAGTGTAGTGTATGCTACTTATGTCTGTCGACATAAGTAGTATGTAACACTAATCAATTATGAAATGCCTGAAAGCATACGGTTTGGGAGATCAGACTGAAGGGAACAGGAATGTAAACAAAAAGTAATTGTAATAGCAATGACGGAACGATGAAGTTTCAGAAAATTGATAGGAGATTTGCGAATGAAGTATTTAATGTATGGTTTTTCACATTTTACGAAAGAACTCTGTAATTTTCCATTTAATAATAAATTGGTTTTCCCCACCTGAGTTCACGTTCACTACAACAGGACTAATATATATATATATATAATTTGATATGCAAACCTCTTACCATTATGCGCTTGTGTTGGGATTATCGTATATATGTTTTCATTTACTTATACAGTTTACTTAGCAATTTTGTTCTTTAATATACCGAGAAGTACCTAGTTTTCCGACAGTAAGAAGAAATGAGACTAAACTAGCAGTGCGCATCCACAATCCCGCACATGAGACTCGAACCTAGGCCCTTTGTCTCGCGCGAACGCTTAACCTCTAAACCACTGAGCCGGGATCCAACAGTGTTTGTCGACCAACTCACAATATTGTGCGACCACCTCTCACTGCCATCAGTGAATAACTGCCTCACACTTGACATGACAATCATGAAATCTCTATAAGCTGTAAAAGTGAAAATGATTTTTTGGAAAAAGTGATTTCACTCAGGAATTTAAAATTGCAACAAAATATATTAGGGTTTAAAGCCAATTCATACGGTTTTTCTCTTCTGTCTACCTACTATCAGCTAGTATAATGAGGTATATTTTTTCTTGTTATGAAAGAATCAGTCAAATCACAAAGTTTAACGTCACATTAACAGTATTTCACATTATATAAATTTATCATTTATTCAACATAATGTCGAATTACTTTTACCAAAACCCGTAGTTTCAGTGATGTTTCACACCACAGTATATCATTTGTAAATCGATCTTGTCTAATTCTACAAAAACAGATTTTATATCAGTATCACAAATAAGTGAGTAGTTCATATTAAGAATGGTTTAATCATAAACGTTACACTTATATGTTAGGTGATTTAAGATAGTCGACAAGATACCGTAAACCTAGATTTTGTGCTACTTGATACTTGTCAATAAGGCGCACCTATAATCTTGACAGATGTTGAAATATCAGTGCATTTTAACATAAATGTCAGTTTTATTACATTGTGCCTTTATACAGTCTCTTTCAATTGGCTACAATTGAAGTACATAATATCATTGTTTTTCATATAAATTCAGAAATATGATATATTTATTTATCGCTTATTAAGATTCATACACTCATACTGATAACTAGACTGACACAGTTATTCCAAATGAAAGTTCACCTCGAAATATTCATACGTCAGTAGTATTCCAACAGATCAACTTCAATGGTTACTTGTTTGTTGAATGTATCATTGAAAAAGAATATGATGTGACATATTTGATTCATACCATGTATAAAAATTGTATGTTTTCTTAAAAATTCACCCGTCAAAAGCGATAAATCGCCAATGAAATTACGTTACACACCTCACATCCGCTTACACACAATACAAACAATCTATTATTTTAACATAATTCTCGTTTCAAATCACATGTTTCATACACATTAAAGTAAATTCTTACTTTAAACGGTGTTAACGTGATTGAATAACCTATTTAGTATACAGTTAACCAGAGAACCATATACTTATTTATATTTGATAATCTTGATATTTGATTATATTTCGTTGAAAAGCTTGAACCAGATTGTCAAGTGAAATGTTGGATGTACTTGGAATTCATTCTCTGAAATTTTACAAATACATTCTCCCTGCTTAATGTGTCACATCAACTCGACACCCGAATGCTGTGAAACTATCTGATTAAATGTAGACGATAGTTCTTATATATTATGATATTGTTTTAATAATTAAATTCAGAAAATAACTGCTGCTAAAAAGATAAACTCTCCTGAATTCCGACTCGGTAGTTCAGAGATACTACTGTTGATTCAAGGCTTAAAAATCATATGGTCTAAAGTAAACTGAAAAAAACATTAGTTACCATAAATCTAAGAACAAATTAAGGTCTATGAAGACAACCAATGATATAGAAAGCTATATGAATAAGCTGAAATAATACTTGTGGAATAGCTGAAAATTCACTTCTACTTGAAATAAACACTGATCTAGTTGTTCAAAACAATGGTGAAACTTAATCAATTAAATCATCTACCTCAGAGAATTCAATATCATTAAAAACATTTAACTCAGCTGCATGTCTTCTCTATCACTTAAAAATATACGACTGAATCAAGTTTACAATTGTAATAACTGTGAACTACTTACTACATATTTCTAAATGTTGTAATTGTCCTCATTTTTCGATACTTTGCTAATGTAATGCCAACTGGTGTGGAAAAACAATTATTTTCCAGTCCCTTGATTTGTTATTTATTTACGCTTTATTATTGATTTATGAAAAATAGACAAATCGGTTAGGCATATAGGCAGATAAACAGATGTTATTTTTGGATAATGTATTCTTAATATAAAGAGTGATATTTCGAGTGTATATTTCACTTAAGCTATCTGTTATTACTTAATTTTTATCTGGTCACTTATTTGATGAATTATAATTCGTTGTGTAAGTGAATTAATCCAGATTGTTTTTTGTTCTGTCAGTGTTTCATTGATCCTTTATTAGAGGATGACTTTTAAAGTATGAAAAATAGCATTTCAAAAAAGCAGTAGACCTTAACATTTAACGCGTAAATTAACTACTTACTTATCCCTCATGAACGAACATAGATCGCCAACCAACAATCTCCATTCAACTCTATCTTCGATAATCCTTTCCAGTTCTTCCCAGTCGCTATTCATTCTTTTCATATCTACTTCCAATTATCCACGCAGTGTGTTCTATGGCCTCCCGCATTTTCATTTCCCTTCACGATTCTGTGAGAACTTGACTCATTATGTACTTTGATGATTTCCACAATGTATGTCGTATCCACCTCCAACATGTTTTCCTAATTTCCTCTTCAACTGTAAGCTGATTTGTTCTCTCTTAAAGTGGGTTGTTGCTGATGGTATCCGGTCAACGGACAATGAGTATCTTATGTATACAATTGTTTATAAATACTTGTACTTGTCACACACTTTGAAAACGATGCAGTAACTTGATGGTGATATTGAACGAATATTGTATGTCATATCGCAAACTGAATGTAAAATTGAAACGTCACCTATAAGATTGGTAGATGTACATCTCATGTATTGCTTTTTTGGAATCATAGGTGCTCACTGCGAATGAGGCCTGTGAACTAAGATAAAGACGGTTGTTTAGTAGTGTCTTCTGGATTTCAATGACTCGCAATTTGTTTTCACTTCATTTTAGAAATTAGTTGTAAAAGTAAGTACCTGAAATCTTTTCTTCTTTAGTTTCAGGATTCAAAATTGCTCTCACCATCAGTTGTATGAGTTGTTATGTTTTGATAATTGATAGTTTAATCATATACTTTTTGCTTCTCTAACTGTTCTTTAACGATTTCATCTTTTCCAAAGGAGTAGCTAAAATTGGTTGTGAGTATAAAATCTTCAAACCTTTTATTTATATTTCGGCTGTTTAGTGATCAATTAGCTGTAGACATCTTTGTTTCACAGGAGGTCAGCTGCGGCACAAATAGCTCATCCGTAACGTCTCAGACTATGAAGTTAAGTGACGCTGATTAAAGCCTACATGGGGCGTCAGTCCCCTCCATATTGAAGAATTGCCTTACTGATGATTGCTAACTAACACAAAACCTAGTTCCAACGTTTCCTACCTCTTGTGTAAAATCAAAACGTATTGCATGAGATGTCGAGTAACTTAGACTAGTATTTAGTTAGATGTTAACTCGATCGATGAAATTCAGTTACCAATTAAGAGACCAGACAAGTATGACATTAATCAATACTCAGTGACCATCCAATTTTGTGTACATTTTATACTTTACTTACTCTTTGAATAACATTTTTCCACTGGAATTATAGTCCAAACAAGTGAAAATTTTTATTCTTTAAAAAAACAAAGACGCTTTCATTGCCATTTCTAAGTTTTGAACATATTGTGTAATTTTATGCCAACTGCTTCTCAAATGTTTATCTGTGTCCCCTTATATAGTTTATAAATTCTGTACCTATCGTTAACAAGTTACTTTGTTATTTTTAATGTTCTCTCTACCTTTTATCCCTTTTACAGTCCACCATTTACTGGTACTGATCCAATGAAAATTTATAATGTTGTTCTGCGTGGAATAGATTGTGTTGAATTCGATCCATCGAATATAAGTCGAACTGCAACTACACTTATTAAACGTTTATGTGCACAGAATCCAGCTGAACGATTAGGCTATGGACGAGGGGGAATAATCGATATTAAACAAAATAAGTGAGTGATAATATATATAAAATTTCTGTTTCTGTTCAGTCACTATGTGTACCAACTTCATATCGTGAAAATTACAACGTTAATTATAATTAATAATTTGACTAATCCCAGGGTTATAATTACACCTTATTAGCATATCGTATTGATTTAATTAATAGATGTCGGATAAGCAATGATAAATAAATGTTGTTCCTAGTTTGACAGTCCTCAGTAATGAACTTTTTTCTTCAGCCCAAGCAAAATTAAATTCACAATCAACAAGTTTATTAGTTAGTAAATTTTGAACATCAATAAATGCTTGATATAGTAAGATTTTCACCTAATGTCATCACTGAGTCATTGTATCACTTTTGATTTCTTGCTGACACATTCGAAAATTTTCACCTACCACCAAGGATATCGTACTGACTGTGATGATTGAAGTACTTGCATCTAATTCTATGTAATATCGCAACTACATAACATTCAGAAATTAAAAAGTCATAAACAACTGCGCTCATAAGTTTTTTTTCTAAATGATATCAATTCTGGACAGAAATCGCCTTCGACATATCCAAACTGTGTGTTTTTTTTAGACCTGATTATTTCATTTAAAGCGATTCACATAATGGTACTCTGTGAATGATTGTATCGAAGATGATTATACAAAAAACAAAAGTAGGATAGTTAAAAACACATTTTTAAACGGTAATTATATTATATTTAGGCTTAACTTATCACATAGGTTCAGTTATAATGTCATTAACAGATATTTGAAATAAAATGTCAATTATGTATGTAGTTTTAAGCATATTATAAATTATGTTCTTAAAATTCTCATTGGTTGTGAATTATCCATTTTGTATGTTATGCCCCGATAAGGAATAATGAGTGGTAATCTTTGGGATCCATTTGTGGACCAATACTATATAATTGTTAATTAACCAAACTATTCTTATCGATTAAATGTTAAATATTTTTATGGCAGTCGATTGACTAACTTATCGATTAAATGTTTAGAGAAAACTTCCATGGCAATATCGATTATATACATATAATTGATATATATACGCTTTGAATTGTGTTTGTGGGGTCGCTCGTTTCTGGCTGTTTGTAGAATATACTTTCCCATTTCAAGCTTGGACTTCTACCTCTAGTTAGCGAGGCTGCGACGCATCAATAGCTAGCTTGCTGATCTTTGATCACTGAGCCTTTGTTCTCGTTCGCAGATTAAGTGAACTTATGATAGCTTCAAAGCTAGCAGTATACAAATAAAAGGTTTATTTTCTTATTATAGGCAGTCGAAAGTAGTATCAATGATTTTAAAAATCAATATATAACTAATTCATCTTATGGACTATGCTATAGTATTTATAATGTACAGGAGTTTATAACGCAAATAACTACTAGAATGATTAAGGAGGATAGATATAATAGACAATTCATAAAATAATCATTTTCTCTTTAATTTCAAGTTGTGTCACTACTTTCAGTGAAATATATTTCTTCTAGTTATAAATTTCATAAGTGATTGTGTTAAGGTAAAATATGATAATTCTAACTGATGGATATCTATTCCGAATTCCTATGTTGTTTATGCTAATCTATGTGCAAAATAATCTGTCTATGCGGTTTAAACCAATCTAACTTGGGTACGACCGAGGGTGGGGGGGTGTTATTTATGAAATTGAGAGGACGAAAAGCGAATGTTTGATGCTTAAACCGGGTTGGCAGATATAGAGAAACCACCTAGCGGAGTTGGAAAACCCTCATTCCAAACCAATGGTGCATATGGGCTCTAGTATCCTGAAGGAACAAATGGCGTATGAACCAATTGTTGTTCACCGGCTACCATGTGACTGAATCTACTAACGTTGCTCTACTCTCTTGTAGATTAGACTTGTAGGTCAAAGGCTGGAAGAGTGACACCCCAAGAAAAGCACCTGCTTCTATGCGGGTACTCAAGAAGTATTTCAATCCTTACAAAAATCGAATAATGAGGTGTGGTGCATATATATATATTTGGTGTTTCCTTGTACCGTTGTTTATGTGTTCAAATAATAATACGTAAACTAAAAAAAAATCACTCTCCCATTAATGATTTCTAACTGTTAGGACAAAATAATCAGTTTAATAAACTATTAGAAAGTATCAGTCAATTAGATAGTAGATATTTTATCTTAGAGTAAACTGATGTAATAAAACTATGAGAAACAATTAGAATAAAAATATTTTATCTATAAATTATGATATTAATGTAAGTTTATATTGATATCGTTCTTGTCTAATATCGGTTAAAAAAAAGTCTTACACTGTTGAAAATTACTAAACTAGATAAAAGACAATCTAAGTGGAAAAATAAATTGACTCTAATTTTTTCCCCACTTTATTACATCATTTCCTACATGATACATTGTGTAAGAGTACAATGTTATTCATATTACATCTATTATTGATTAATAATAAGCTAATAATGATAGTACGTCATTACACATTGAATATTTAATCGAAAGAAAAAGAATAATTGTCTTAGTTCAAAAAGGTAAAACGATAATAATCTAAACGGCAAAGAGAGTCAATGTCTATAGGGTAAATTTCAATACTTAAAAATCAAAAAATATATATATTTCTTTCAAAACTATGAATAAATGAATGGTTTTACAATAGCTACATACAAGATTAATCTATAATGATACTGAAATAATAAAACAAACTATCAATGTTTAACATTAAATTTAAGCAGGTCTTTATTGTGTGGTAGTAGAAGTTCTAATGTAAGCGGTCATTGAATGTGGGCAAACAACAACTTAGCTTACCGACGATTAAATGTGTAATTTCCTTTATATTACTGATGTCTGCTCCGAACTCATTGAGCGAAAACTGCCTGTAATTGTGTTAAATAAATTATTGTCTAACCTTAATTCTGGTTGTCTTTATCTGGTCGTGAATCCTCTGTTTCTCATAAGCTGATCTCAGTCTGTGTAGCGTACCAAACGAATATCCAGTCTTACTTACATACTTACTTACGCCAGTTATCCCTCGTGGACGAGCATAGATCGCCAACCAACAATCTCCATTCAACTCTATCTTCGATAATCCTTTCCAGTTCTTCCCAGTCGCTATTCATTCTTTTCATATCTACTTCCAATTATCCACGCAGTGTGTTCTATGGCCTCCCGCATTTTCATTTCCCTTCACGATTCTGTGAGAACTTGACTCATTATGTACTTTGATGATTTCCACAATGTATGTCGTATCCACCTCCAACATGTTTTCCTAATTTCCTCTTCAACTGTAAGCTGATTTGTTCTCTCTTAAAGTGGGTTGTTGCTGATGGTATCCGGTCAACGGACAATGAGTATCTTATGTATACAATTGTTTATAAATACTTGTAGTGTACAAATGCCACCCTTGCTTTGTCAATCCTCGCCTTTACGTCTGCATCGAACTCTCCTGGTTCATCGATGATGTTCCCCAGTTACATGAAAGATTCTTCAACTTCTAGAGCTTCTCCACTAAGTGTGATTGGGTTAGTGTTCTTCATGTTGTATATGAGGTTCTTGGTCTTTCTCTTGTGTATCTTGAGGCTCACTGATGCAGCGAATCCTGTTGTTACACTGGTTGTTTTGACGTGCATTTGTTGGTATGTATGGGATAGAAAGGCCAAGTCGTCTGGAAAGTCCAAATCGCCTAGTTGCATGCACGCTGTCCATTGTATTCTGTGCTTCCCCTCATATGTGGAGGTCATTTTAACCCGGAATTGTCCATTCAAACATTGGTGTTTAGGTCTTCTACCAAGATGCTCAAGTCCTTCTGTGAGCACTTCACTATGATCGATTAAAGCTTCTCAAAAAACTGACATTTATCGTCTTCATTGCTATCATTGGTAGATGCAGGGCACTGGATATCATTCACTGTAGTTCCTTACTTCTTTGTTTTGAAAGATTCTTTGATGATCCTGGGTCCATGAGATTTCCATTCCATAAGTGCTTTATCGGACAGCATCAGAGCAACTCACTGAGTGTGTGGAAAATTTCGGAGAAGTCTGTATGAATGGATACCGGGATTTAAGACAGAATGGGGGATAAAAATTGGATATATCCGACCTTCTATGAACGCTTCTGAACCTTGTCACTCAAAGTCCTCATCCACTGATCGCGGTTGCCTCACGGACCCAACCAAGGTAGCTTGAATCTACCAGTATGGCTAAAACAAACAATTAATGACTTAACAGACTGACCATACATTTTGTCTTCAACGTCCACAGCTTTCTTCCACTTTCTGCGCTAGTAAGCATCGCTCATCAAAGTAGGTGGTGATTAGTAGTCACATAATGTTATCTCTTTTACTCACCGATGAAAGATTTGAGCACTTCTTTATAATTTGACCCATCAGTTTGAAAACTGTTACCATAAACATGATCGGACGTAACAAATACCTAGCTATGTGTTGTATAAATCATTTGTCAAGTATGAAAATATCATTAATTTTTTACATTTTTTTACTGATACATTTAGATATTTTCAAGGATTTGACTGGATCGGTTTGCATCGTGGTACGTTAGCAGCTCCTATACAACCTACTGTAAGTTGTCTCCACCCATTATAAATGATATTACGTATAAAATATTTTATTTATCTTCAATACTATTCGTTATATTCGAAGTTACTCAGGATAAATTGAGAACGGGAGCTTAATTAAAACACTACCTGGTTTTCAACAAGAGACTGAAGGTTTAAACTTAGCTCTATAACTAGTTATCGCATATGAAGTTGAACTTCAGACCAAGTCTGTTGTGAGATATCAGCTCACTGAAGACAATGGTGTTCGGTGGCGCAACTTCGTGGATTGGTTGAAGTTAGACATTAACACCGTTGGATGCTGGCTCAGTGGTCTAATGGTTAAGTGCTCGCGCGCGAAGCCAGTAGATCCTGTGTTCGAATCCCGTGGGGGTTGGATCGTGGATGCGCATTGCTGAGGAGTCCCATGCTAGGACGAAACGGCCGTCCAGTGCTTCCAGGTTTTCCATGGTGGTCTAGCTTCAATTGCTTCATGATTTCAACCTGTGAGATTTTATAAAGCAATAATGGACAAATGAATCACGTTTATTTTCGAAATCAATGGGATCGACTTATGTCACAAATTCTTTAATCAGATTTCATTCTACCAGGACTAGAAGCATTACTATTCTGGCTTATGTGATTAGACTTGAAAAGCAGAGAAAAAGGCATTTAACAGTATGGGGTTGTGGAGATTGTTAGGTTTTCGGTTGAAATCATGAATCGCTTAATGTTAGACCATCATTGAAAACCCTGGGGGGCACTGGACGGCCGTTTCGTCCTAGTACAGAACTCCTCAGCAGCGCACATCCACGATCCCGCAAGCTGAATTCCAACCCAGGACCAGTGGAGCTAATCCGTGTCAGGTAGAAACAAGTATCTACCCCTGACAATGGAAAATGTTTACGCAATTTCGTCGATTGGTTGAAGTTAGGCATTAACAACGTTGAATACTGTCTCAGTGGTCCAGAGGCCAGGTGTTCGTGCGCGAGACCGAAGGTCCTGGGTTCGAGTGCCTCGTGTGAGATCGTGGATGCACACTGTTGAGAAGTCCTATACTAGAACGAAACGGCCGTGCAGTGCCTCCAAGTTTCCAATAGTTGTCTAACATCGAACCTTTCATGATCTCAACAAAAATAGCATTTACTGGAAGTTGTTTTTCCTCTTTTTATCTGCTGAACATTTGTTTGTTTTATCCAAGAAGCAAGCACATGAACTGACTGGATGTTGAACTGCATTAATGAATCGGTTTCTTGAAAAATATTTTTCTTGATAGAGTGAACAATAGTACGGCCGATGGTGAGGAGAGACAACTCTCCCTCGCGAAATGCTCTCTTATGGCCACACGTATAAAGACATTGACAGGAAAGTTCTACTCAGTGCTTTCTCGCGGCATTACCGTTGTTTACAAAATTAAGAGGACGAAAAGTGAATGTCTGACGCTTTAACCGGGTTGACAGATATGGAGAATCCACCTATGGGAGTTCGAAAACTCTCATCCCAAACCAATGGTGCATATGGGCTCTAGTGACCTGAAGGAACAAATGGTGTATGAATCAATCGTTGGTCACTGGCTACCATGTGACTGCATCTCCTCACGTTGCTCCACTGTCTTTTAGATTAAACTTATAGGTCAAAGGCTCGGGATGTGACTCTTTAAGAAAACCACCTGCTTTGGTTTGGGCACCCGGACAGTATCAAAGCTTACACACAAATCAAGTGAATTGTGTGGCGCTTACGTATTCGGTGCCCCTTTGTATCAATATTTATGTGGTCAAGTAAATAAATAAAATTAATGATAGTTATTCACCAATTTGAAAAAAAAATTTGGTCACTTTTTGTCATGCTGAAAATATAATTACATACATTTTATTGATTTTTTTAAAAAATTGTCCGTCACTTTTTCTCCATAGATACTTGGCCCAGATGATACAACTAATTTTGATAAATATCCTCAACAAAATGAAATCCCACCTGATGAAACATCAGGTTGGGATAAAGAATTTTAGCATTAAATTACTAATCATCATTGTTAACTTTTCACAAATGATCTAAAACCTTTTTTTCTTATTATTTCATACATATGTTTATATAAATAATGATTGTAGGTGTGTGTGTGTGTGTGTATGTATGTATGTATGTATCTATGTATGAGATTTGTGCATTTGATAAAGAGTGTAATTGTTATTGTATTGAAATTCTATCTATCATAAAGCATATCTATATTCCATATATATAAATGAATCATTTATAGTCTACAATTTGTGTGTTTTATCAACTTAACTGATCCATCATATAGATTATTCTATTTATTACAACAACAACAACAAAAATTGAACAATTAAATGATCTAACCTATTTTATATAATTGTGAATAATAATTTATTTATTTATTTACTGTTATGGTCATATTTTTTTCAATTCTGAAGAGAATAAAATGAAAAAAAAACGATTCAAATCATAGAGATGAAGTTTTCTTCACTTTACTTTTCTTTTCTCTTCTTTTTTTTCTCATATCAAAATGATTAGATTTACTTTTCTGAATTAAATAACAAATAAACTTTTGAACTGGAAAGAAAAAAAGAAAAGCATATTCTGTGTTTTTATTGTTCAATTCAAGTGCTTTTCTTTTCTTGTTTTGTTTGTTTTTAATGTTTTTGCGATGGGATTAAAAAAAAAGTGAAAAGAAGATCATTTTATTGTTGAATTAAACTCTCACATTATTCATTCTTGATCAGAAATTTAAAAAAAACCCTTGTTTCCACGTTTTTTTTTAAATATAGAAATTCTTTATAAAATATTTCACTGCTGTGTACATAAATAAATAAATATATATATATGTGTGTGTGTGTCTGTGTATCTACAGTTCCACTAACCTATAATAATGCACATCAAATTAGCAATACTTGAATTTAGATTTGATCTAATACAAATATTCACTTTGTAATCATGATCTATATATGTATATCAACCGATTTGTATCAGAATGTCTACTTATATAATGGATATTTTAAAGAATGAACATACTATCTCATTTATTTATTCAATATATATTGAAGATCATTTATAAGTAAGATTTATCAACTTATCATCAGAGTTATTAAAAGTTTCTTTTTGAAAAATTTCTTTATAATATAGATTTAATCAATAAAATTCTACTGCTGGTTTCTAAGTTATTTTTTAATAAGAGTATTAATGTTTTCTCTTTTTTTTAAAAAAAAAAATATTTTATTCCTGATTACTTTTTTTCTTCTTCCTATTCTATAGTTGTTTAGATTTAATTAAAGAATCTTGTAAGGCTTTATTATTCTTAAATATCTCATTATATATATGAATCATATTGTTTTGTTGATAAATTCAATGAATGAATAGAGAATAAGTTAGATTATATTCAATTGTTACTTATATATTGTAATTGAATCTGAATTTTAAAAAAAATAATCATCTTCATCAATTAGAATATTCATTTAAAGTGTACGATTCAAAGTCTAAGAGATATATTACTTTATTCTTGTTATTATGAATAGTTAATTGATCCTAACATCTATCTTGTATCTTCTTTTCATGATTGTTATTAAGTCTGTTGTTTGTACAAATTTTGAACAATTCATATAAATGTATTTATACTAGGTGAGTTTTTTTTCTTCTGAATAACTTCATTACATAATCAATATTATTTACTCCAGCTAAAAGAGAACTTAATAACTATACTACTTTCTCAGTTTATTATGTTTATTTATTTTTCAGTACTAATGAACAATTCATTAGTTGTGTGAGTGTGTGTGTGTGTGTTGTTGTATTTAAATTAGTTTATGTTATTGTAAGATAATTCATATTTTTCAAACAAAAAAAAATAACCTCTAAACAAAACTAATTAATCACTATAGGTCGACTTCTTTTTGCCATTATTGATCTATTATTGATTATAAGTCACCTAATTGATTTTATTGTTTACTTTTAAGAAAGACAATTAAAAGATTATACTAAATATGATATTGATTGACTAAAAGAAATTAACTTTAAACTAGAAGCAGTAATTACATACTAGTTCTTTTTAGTAAGCGATTATTAAGGGAGCATAAACTGGTTACTAAATCAATGTCCTTTATTTTAGTTAGTTTTCAACTTACTTTGTAATCATAACAACTAATAAAGACATCATTACTTCTCCTGTTAATGTCATCAGGTTTCGACAACAACAATAAATACAGAATATATTTATAAAAATTATGTCTAATAACGATGTATGTAAACTATCCATGTTTGGACAGTTTGCTCAGAAAAAAACTTAGATATCTACTTAACCATAAATTTAACCTAACTGAAGTAAGCACGAACTACGATAAAGGCTTTATGATAACCACAATTGATTGATCACTGGGTGGTGATCAATCTCACCTAGACTGGTGGCCACATTGCAACATGATCGATAGCATTCGATCTGCACTAATAAGGACTAGACAAGCATGAGATTGATCACCACCCAGTGATCAATCAATTGTGATTACATCTCAGTCCTACAGGAGGTTAGTCACGGCTCGGATAGCTCAGTGGTAACGTCTCTGACTGTGAAGCTGGGTGACACGAGATCGAATCCGCCAGGGAGCACCAGTTCCCCCAAGATTACAGGTACACCTTGCTGACGAGTGCCAAGTAGCACGAAACCCGGGTTCAGGGTTTCCTGTTGACTACCTCCAACCACCATCTAAGCTTTATGATAACGCTAGTCAGATTAGAATATCCCAAGATGGTCGATATTTTATACTATCTAGTCTTAGGATTTTGTTGTGTTGTTTAGAATTATTACTGTTTTCCAAGTTCCTGCGGAACTTCATTAAAATTTTAATCAATAGTTTCATAGGATTAATTACTAAGTATACAAAAAACAATCAATATAAAGTTGTACTTGTAAAAATCTTAGCAATTGAAATTAAACAATTCCAACTGTTTAACCTGACAATATTTTTCTAGTTGCATACACAAAACCATATTCTATGGATCAAGTACATTTCATATTGAATAACTAACATTTACAATACAAACAAAAGTAGAATTTGAATATGATCTGATAATTATTTAGCGAGTATGTATGTTCCATCAAAGAAACCAGTTTGGTATATTTCAGTTGTAAATACAGTAAATCCTTTCTGATAAGACAGGGCTTAAAGTAATATTTAGTGCAACAAAAGTGTTCTTATAAAATATACAATATGACTAACTAAAATACTTTAAAACTATTAGTCCCTTTGATAAACTTCGATAATACAATGAGAAGACGAAGGTTATTAGAATTATGTTATATGTTTGCGCAATACATTTCGAACAATCTGATCACACATATACATGTTAAGAACATTTATTTGAATAAAAGGTCAACTAGACAGGTTAAAGGTAAGCCGTAACAAAGAAAAATAAAATACACAAAAAACAATGTGATAACCACTCTGGATAATAAATCAATATTACCAGGGTAGGTTAAGGGTTAGAACAAATTGTTTTTGAACACATAAAGGGGGTTTCAGTTTCCGTATAGCCAAGGCTTCAATAAACCTTGGTATAAGTCCTTGAAAGCTTTTGTACAAAACTACAAAGGCTGACTTGATATCAACCTTATGATCAGTCTCAACTAAATGTTTCGCAATGGAGGAAGATGTCTGCTATACTGTGATCTTGTTTGACCATTGGAATTCATTTGCTTCTGCAGCCATTTGGGTATGTGCTCCGCCACCCTTAATTGCAGATCACGATTGTTCCTTTCCATGTACGTGCTTCCGCACATATATGTAAATTTATTTATTTAGCTGAACACATAAATAGTGGTACAAGGGGGCACCAGATCCATATGCGCCTCACAATAATAATGAGAATGGGAAGAGATAAATAATGTAAGGTGCATGTAAAAAGAAAAAAAGAACAATAACGACCACAAATTATTGTATGGTAGCGAAACAATAATAATGAGGGAACAAGAAAGGTACAATCAGAAAGAATCCCTTCAGTTAATGAAGTTATGGCCACTTTTTACAAAGAACTCTACCCATCGTCTAAGACGTCGATGGATGTTAGTGATTGGCATCTCATCATCCTCGCAGATTATCTCGCTCACACCAGACTTCTTGCTGCCAGTGGCTCGGATAAGTTGGAAGAGCTTCCGGTAGTTACCAGATGCAGCTGCTGCTTCCAGCTTATTAGCACGCTCCGACCACCAGGCTTCTCGGTCCTCACTCAAGCTTTGTCCAATTTCATCACGTAACATCCTTCGTTTGTGGTCAAACTCACGGTCACCCGGAGTAGACCGACGGGTCTCGATGATTTGTAAGGAGCCTGAAGAAACCCAGTGCTTATAAGTGGGACATTTCGCGAAACTACAACTCACTTTACTCGCCATTTTCATGTTGTCATGCAATTGCGACCAATGCTCATCTATACTTTTCGGTGGAATGGTAGCTAGCCTATAACCTAGCTCAGTTTGATACTTAGTTACAACAGAAGCTGCAACCAACTTGCTGACATCAATCCTTTGGTGGCGGTCACTTTGTTGGCCACTGAGAAGTAAGGTAAGATTGGCGCAGACCAGGGCATGATCAGAATCCAGATAGGTACTCCAAAAGAAGCGGCAGTCTTGTATACAACTACGCCATCGGTAGCTGATCGCGATGTGATCAATCTGAGTCCAGGCTTGAGATGCAGAGGGATGACGCCAGGTGGCACATCGGCGATGACTGCTGGAAGTTAGTGCCAGTGTAAATTGATAGACACAATCGCTTACGTACTGTTTGGTGAAACATGAGCTTTGTCTTTTCAATAATGACAAGTTGGGTTGCATAAAATGTCCGACTGATGGCTAATTTAAGTCTCCATTTCAACATGAGACTGTATGAGTCACATCTAAATGGTAACATAATGTAAACTCACTTTTTGGGTTCCAGAAGTGTCATAGTGTTATAACTTGTGGCCTGTATGCCCTGTTAATGCATAACGTAACGATACCGCCAATTAGAGAGCAGTGATTTATCAAACGTACCAGTGACGTATAAAACACGTGCGAGCAGTCTAGAGTCCTGACTGGTCCTGCTTTCTGCCTAGCCCAGCCAGTTAAGTCCAGAACACCAATCCATGCCTCTGCAATATGAATCATTTGTTTCAAGCATACGGGGTTTATATACCAATCAAACAGACCACATCGTACCAATAAAATAGAAAACAACATTTGTACAATATTTGACCAAATGTGGCTGTGAATGTGGGAGGTAGTAATTGATAGACTGGGCATAATTCAAGAATGGTAAACCGTATAATAGTCCATAGATCAAAATAAAGCTCATGATAAGGACATGAGTATGAATAGTTTAGTTATTTAACAATTATACGATAAAAATATACGCATAGTATTGGTCCATAGATGGATCCCAAAAGTTACCATTCACTATCCTTTCCAGGACATAACACATAGGTGTAATCGTATTGTAACTCTTCTAGAGATTTATGGAATTTAAATGAATAACCATTATTAATTGGCGTTTCAGTCAAGAATTTCGTCTCTACATCAACAGTATCGCTAGTACAAATATGATTGATTCTAAAAATACAAGTAAACTACTTCCAGGTTGTTTGTTTCTTATTTCATACATATTTTGCTATCTGGAATTTATTTAATTAACATGAATGAAGTTATGAATTATAAATTACAATATAGATAAGTTGAGATCTCGGATTTAAAAAAAAGGTAGAAACGGAAAGATAACAGTCTAGTTATGAGAATCAGAACTACCATAAACATTTATTTTTGTTAATCAAATTACAAATAGAAAAAAAGTATATACAATTTTGCATTCATAGTCGAGGTTAGCAAGGATTAGGAACGAAACTAGGGGCTATTATTCTTTATTGTTTTATTCTAACCGATAAGTCACACTTGGAATATTTATAAAGAGTTAACCTGTTTTTCATTAGTTGTTATTTATATCAAGTACCCACTTGTAATCACCTCCAAAGAGAGAATTAGAAGTGTATTAGAAACAAACGTAAATTTGTCAACCTTTTCTCTTCTTTTATATCATTATTTTTATTTTAACACATAGATATTGGTACAAGGAGGCACCAAATACATATGCGCCACACAAATCTCATTCGATATGTGTGAGGGCTGTGATACTGCCCGGATGCCCGAACCGAGGCACGTGGTTTTCTTAGCGGGACACACCTCGAGCCTTTGACCTGAAGGTCTGATCCACAAGGCAGTGGAGCATCGTGAGGAGATGCAGTTATAGCGACTCACGTGCTAATGGGTTTATTTTCATTTAACCCAGTTAAGCCCTTTTTGTTAACTTATTTAGCGGATAAAGCCATCCGCGCTATAACAATTTATTGTATCCTTATTATTATTTTGCGCTTGTATTAAATACGTATGCTTGAATATTGATTACTGCCTACGCATTTATTCACTCTGCTAATCTTACCACTAACCGCTTATTCGATTCGATTACTCATTCATTTCACATGGTATATATATGTCCATGTTATTCATATTGAACACAATCGCTCACTCGCTCGCACGGTCTCGTCACGCTCTTGCTCTGGCTCTCGTTCGCTTGCTTGCCTTTCGGCACAACTCTTCTATGCTTGTTTAACACATCTGTACATTTGGATATATGTGTGTGGTTTCGCAATAAACGTAATCGACACTTCGTATTTGCCTTCTGATTAATATACCGTTGGTACGTTATATAGAACGGTTATCGCGACGAACTGTATACGAAGTTCAAGGATTATATCAAATACCGACCACCACACAGTCCCATGGTAGCCGGTGACCAACGATTGGTTCATATGCCATTTGTTACCGCAGGATACTGGAGCCCATATGCACCACTGGTTTAGGATCC